TCAGGCCAAGCCAACGTGAGAGAGGCATTATTTACAGGTAATGAGATGATCTCTGAAAAACACGGGTAAGTCACAAAGGACTTGGATAGCCTTGTTTACGGAAAGGTTGCCACTTCATAACTGTCAAAGCGTGAAGAGCAGGCGATTCATTTGATCGTACTGGTACCAAGTTACGTCGGACTTAACGTAGAATGAGATAAATCATTTTGAGTATCATTCCTGGCTGAAGAACCGATACTCCTTAGAGCTATGGGACCAAAAATAAACCGTGCGTGCACTTCGAGGTTGTTTCAACGGGGTGACGAGTTGAAAGCAAACAGACCATCCTCTGGTCACATAATCACCACCTTGAGCCTTGGACTCCCATTGGCGGTCATCCACCGGATTTGTAAAGATCCACAGTACACCAGGCGCGTGGTACATACTGTGACCTTTCTTCGTATCTCGAAAGAGTACTACACTTCACAGTGGGAGGATTTATAGATAGTGACGCCTCGACAGGAAGAAGTAAACGTGTGTTGAATGCATACCTAGATAGGTGCAAAATGTCGGTTGCTCGCTCTTTACCACCGCTTGCTGTACCTCGCGCCCAGCTGGAATGCATGCACTTGATGACACACATCCGTCCACGACTGAATATTTGCGGCAGCAACGGCAAGAATAGCTGATTGGCTCACATTAGAGTGAAATACAAGGACTTGGCACAGAGTAATGTTTTCTTGAATGACAAGGCCGCCAATCAGGGCTTGTGTCCCAAGGCAAGGGGCTGTGCGACCCCGCCATCTCAAATGTCCCGCAGAACCCAGGATAGCCCCTCATGTGAGCCTGACGCTGTACGGTTTTCGGCCTAGCGCTAGCGTAGAAATGCAACAGGGGGGCCATGCCAGTGGAGCCTGGACCTCCTTCCCGTTTCCTGCACTTACGACATACCACATCTTACAAACTCGGCCCACGCCCTTATCCCCCATTCCCTCTATATTTACAAACTCCCCGTCACCACAATGGCACTGGCCAAGTTTAAATTCGCCCCCCTTCAAAAGACAGGCTCCTGAACACTATAGTCTATAAAACTGCCTCCAATGCAGTCCTCTTTCTCTTTCTCTCTTGATTCCCTCGCAGTCCATTAGATCGTTCTCAGTCAGTTGATAACACCCCACCAATGGCCCCATTTGCCCGCGGGGATGCTCCTCTTTCATTTTCTGGCCCCAATGACACCGTCCCCGTCATGCAAGACCCAAATGGTCCCTGGGAAATGGACTTGAACACCTCGGTCACCATTATATTTGGCATACTCGGCCTCATCTTCCAAGCAGGGCAGATTTGTTATGGACGAAGGCAGATGTAAGTAGAGCTAGAGCCGCCTGACGCCACACAAGCCAGTGCCTATTCTCCCCACGTTGCAGCCAGATCATTTGGCGATGCCATTGACAATGTGACTGTAGAACAAGAATGCCATTGCAGAACAACATGGTACAAAGCACGGAGACGGTCTTCAAAACCCCCCGACGCTCCCATGCCACAGCGTGGCCAGACGCGGCCGTCGCACGGCAGCGGAGGGTGTTCGCAAGGCATGCGTCCGCGGCAATGGTCACCCCCAGTAGAAAACCCTCCCACCAGATATCCACGACAACCCGACAGAATGTTTGGGAGATGCACAGTGCCGCCTCCACCAGACGTTATACGCAGGAGGCAAGCTCAGAACTATTCGAACCGAGGTCAACGGGGAGGGGCGCCGGAGTATTCTGATCGTGCAAGTTACCTGTCCCGTTACGACAACAAGCAGAGTCCGCGGTACCTGGGTCAAGGATATGAGATTTAGAGGGCCTGTTGATTGACTCGAAGGCAGATGGTGGGAATGTACATAGCATACTTGTTCGCTGGAGGATGTGTACGGTGTTCTTGTTGATGTCTATGTTTGCATTTGTCTGTATTCCAATACTACATGTTCACAGCGGTTGCGACCTGTGCTGCTAATGTTGTTGTTGTTGATGTTGTTGTTGCTGCTGCTGCTGCTGTTGCTGGACACTGTTCACACGCGGCGGCTGGACCGGCTGGGCCGGCTGCCAGTGTTGATGTCAATGGCCATCTGCCATAGCAGGATGGTGATCTTGTGCAGGAGGTTGAGGGAAAGGGTGGGATGTATGGTATGGATGGCATGTGGCATGGGATGGTTGGACAGTGCCAACTGGAACTGTGTTGTCGTCGTGAGCGATGCTTGGGAGCTATTCACCCGGGTTTATAGACCCCGCTGTTGCCCTGAACAGATTCAGACCCTTTGCAGCACGGATTTCCCGTTTGGGATGAGTGATAACCTTTGATTGGCCAAGACGCAGGCCTCCCTGCCCTTTCCATCCGCACTCATCGACCCCGCATCCCGGTCCCTGAGCCCGCAGCGAAAGCATCACCACCCCCTGGGGGCCGAAGCAGGTGTAGAATAACTCATGTCTCGCAGCCAATGGCTTTCAGACTCGAGATTTGTGAACTCCGACCGCCATGCCTGTATGGAGGTCGTACTAACCTCTCGGGGCTCCATGAACGGGAGTTGGTCCAATGACGCACTGTTCCACTTACTGGTAGCACGTCGCTGGGCTGCTAACCCTGCAACTTGGGAGACTTTACCTAGGCGTGAAATCAGCATGTGGGCTAGAAGCTGCAGGCTGGTGCAGAGCAAGCTCAAGCTGCCACCACTTGGGCCTGACCTCCTGGTGGGCACTTCGCTGGACAGGTCAGATTGAGTCTTGGGAACCCGAGGCTGCCATTCGGCCGAGTCCGATTTGCCAAGGTCGAGAAAACCATCTACGGAGCTCGACTTCCCAACCAAGCCTGTCTCCGGAGCAGCCGCCTTCTTCCGAGTATGGACGTCAGAATGGACGGGGAAAGAACACTGGCTCGAGTGTGGGAGCCAGCGCTCAGGTGCTAGTTAAATGTTGATGAACGGTGACGCGCACAACCTGGCATGAAGCCCAATCAAGAGGGGTGAAATTGGGGGTGAAATGGGAGTGCGCATGTATCTGTAGGCAGGGGGTTGATCATGGCTTGATGGACGATTGCAGTGTCAGATCGCAGGCCTAGGGACACGCAGGCAAGACGGTGGCATGGTATGGGTGGATGTTGTGGGTGTGCTAGGGATCGATGCAGCGTCAGACAAGGATGTCGACGCAAAGCGGTCGCCCAGACCAGTTCGAGGTCGAGCTGGTGGCTCCGAACGGCGCGGTCCATTCGACATGTCCGACGACATTCGAATTTACACCCTTCTGAGATAGTACCTTGATTGTTCTTGTTGCCCAGGTTCTCAATAAACGTTGCCCCTGGAAAGTTACCGTGAACGACACGAGGCCCGACTTGTGTACTCCATGACATGCACGTCGGTCAAAGCAACGCTCCCCCAAGCGAGACCTGGGTTGCGACAAATCTTGACTGACGGCGCTGAGGCATCCGAAATGTTGAAATAACAGAGGGCTGCTGGGAACAGTGCGCCTCGGGGGTCCTCCGCGTTTCCTCGCGCTAGGAGTACCCTCTGCTTACGTTGCGCCAGTTGGCGATCGGGCACTTAGACACCCTAGCCCGAGGCGCGTCTGGGCATGATGTGGGCAGGGGCTGAATACCCACGGTGTCGGCAGCGAATGGGTGGCCCATCATTGCGACCTATCTCGGACTGACCATCAACGGGGCCTACCTGAATACCGGGTAGCTCGTCAGCAGGGCCTAGGCCTACTTAAATGGGTTGCCCAAGACTGATTGGTCGTCCGCCCGCAGTCGCTGTTTCTGCCATGCCATGCCATGCCACGCTATGCAATGCCATCCCGTACCATGCGCTGCCATCCCGTGCCATGCAATGCCATCCCGTACCATGCCATGCCATGCCATGCACACCATTTCCTGCAGTAGCTCACATAGAGGCAAGAGAAACAGAGGCCGCTGCATCGTAACAGGCTTGTGGCGTGTGGTCCCAGACAGTGATATTGGGATGGCACCTTCTGGTACCTCTTCAGCAGCCATCACTCACAACAGATTGCGGGTGATGAGTCCGTTTTGCGTCACGATTCGGCCGAATTGGAAGAACGAATAATTGTTCGGTGCAGAGTTCTCCTACGGCAGGGCGAGAAAAGGTAGGCTACGGCGATGGTTATCATCACGCAAAGGATACGAGCATGGCATATGTGTGCACATTGGAGAAGCTTGAGATGACGGATAGCTCACCTATAGCCTGACCTGGGCTGGATCATCAGTGGGACCTCGACCCCTCCCCGGGCGATGTGGTGGAGGCTCTGGACAGTCCCATACTGTGAGAGAAGGCAGGTCCGTCCAAACAGAACAAATCTCGTCTCCACTTCATGCTATGACCCCCGACCAATCACTCGACCGTCCGGAGGAACTTCGGCCAAGGACAAGCCGGATGCAGCTTCCTCTGCTGTTCCAGGCTCTGGGTGACGCTGCGGCCGACGCCCGGGGAAGTGGCTTAGATCCAGCAATCAGCTGAGCTAGAGCTATAAGTCTTCGCGATGTTACTAGCACTGGTGACACAGGCGCAATGGAGGGCTTTCAGTGGTTCTATCAATACCTACGATATACCCCGTGCCTGCAGGAGGGCCCGGACAGTTATTATATTGGATGAGCAGCCCCTTGTCAAGTGTGGTTGTGCGGACTTCAAGACAACGCCATTACACACTCTCAGAGGCCTTGAATTGTTTTATAAGGCAGTCCGTCTTCCACTTCCAAAGATTCCATTCATGCGACTCAATTTCCAAAATCCAGTCTCTTGGTTACTCATCATTGAAAGCCATATAGTGTGGACAAGAGCGAAAACTCATTGCAATTCTCCACTGCACATCGAAAGCCTGGGCCTCGCCGCGCTGTGCCACCTTGCGCCATTGGCTCTAGTCCCTGCACTCCTTTTGTTCGATATCAAAACCCTTCCTGCCCGGGAATAGAAACATTGAAGGGGCATAGCATCTCATGTCAAGGCCATATCAACCATCAAATCACCAGGGCATCAAGACATGGCACCAATAACCCTACCACACAACAATACGATCCCCTTCGCCACTTCTAATGGGACGATCATCCTCGTTCAAGGCTCAGATAGCCCCTGGGACCTGGACCTGAATACACTTGTCACCATCGTGTTTGGCGTCATCAGCATCGCTTTCCAAATAGGCCACATGTACCACGGGACAACGCGAAAGTGAGTTTGTCCCATAAACTTGCAGCCGATGCAAAGCTGACGATGCCTGTTAGGAGTAGAACCACCGGGACCGCTCATGAAGACGTTGAAAAAAATGGACCCAGGCACCCCAGGGACGGGCAGGGAACGTTTTTCGGACCGCGCCATCCTCCACATTATTGGGATGAGTCCCAAGACTACAAGACTGGGAGGCCGTTGATGAGTCAACCGTCTTCGGCCGCGCACATCCGCGGTGTGGCTCTCCGAAAGCCTTCGTACCACGATAACAGCACGCAACTGGGCACCAGGAGTGTTCCTGAAGGGCATGTATATCGACGGCATCCCTGGCAGAACAATGAGTGGACAAGTGGGACGAGTCCATGGCCTATCCCCACTGAGCCTGCCCTTCAACGACAACACGCTCAGCGTCGCCAGCCGGGGTTTTTCTGAAGACTCGTCAGCTGTCTTGAATCCACGGTGCGAAGGATAGGGCAGTTGACGGCGCTCCGACGGATAGCGACAGGTTAGGCAAGGTTCCTCGGCGTAAGGCACAAGTGTTTCGTTCCTTTCTGTAATTCTCTTCACGTGCCAATTGATCCGGGGTTTCCCTCGTCTTTCACCAGCATCTCGTTGTCCATGCGTGGTAATTCTGAGCGTAAAGACGGTTGATTGAGAGACTATCCGCGAACCGATGCACCGCAGAATCCCAGCAGCGCCCTACTGCGTCAAGAACTCCTCGATATCCTTATCCTCATCATCCTCCTGCAGCTCCTGCAGCCTCTTCTCCTCGGCGTCCAGCAGCTTCTTGACCATGGTCCTTTGCCTGCGGCGTGCCTTCTTTCCCCAGTCTGTCGCGCTCGACGACGACGACTTCTTGCCCTCGCCCTCGCCCTCGGCGTCGCTGTCGTCGCTGTCCTCTGGGATCTCGATCTTGTGGCCACGGAGCTCGTTGGGCGACAGCTTCGCCTTCGCCTCTGCCTCCACCTCGGCCTCGGCGGCCTCCTTCTCGTGCTGGTTCATCTGGGCCTTGCCGCCGAGCTTGAGCAGGTACGGCCGGATGAGCATGTATGTGCCGACGATGATGACGATCCTGATCCACTTCTCCGGGGACATGCCCTCGAGGGTGCCGCGCAGGTTGCGCGTGAAGCGCTCGTATGCGATGTAGAGGAGGTTGGTTATGCCGTCCATGGTGGGCGGTTTGTGGTGGTTTCGAGGACAGGCGGTTTGAACTGGTTTGGTGGTAGGAAGACTTTGAACTCGATCGTCGCAGTTGAGTAGTTCGGTTTGTTGATGTACAGCTTGCCAGCAGGTCGCCAGACCGAGACGACAGCGAGTCAGGATTTGTATTCGGTGTGGGAGATTCGGGAGTGGGTGGGAGTGCGGGAATTTCGACAGCTTTTTCTCGAAGACATGTAGTCCAGTTCGCGCGCTCCGAAGCTTGGACAAGAGAACGAACGCACTGACGAAGTTTGCGACCTCCACAGCTTCCTCGGCACTGGCTGACAAGCACGCTAGCCACAGAAGCCGATAGGCCTGGGCCCCACACGTTGCTCCGAGCTACCTAGGTAAACAGGATGCCTGTGATTCGCTCGGGCTTCACTGACAACCTTTTGAACTGCCCAGGGGTGGGACTTGGCTCTTTCTTGGCCAAGCAGCCCTCAACGCGACGACGACTCTTTCAAAAAGCTGCCATCCTTGGAGGAGATATCGTCTTGAGTACCTTGTGGGCCATATCATCAACTGTCGCCCTTATCGAAGTTGGTTGCGTCTGGGTCAATATGGCAGATGAATCTGAGGAAGACGTTCGCGAGGTCAGTAAATGGCTGTCTTCCTAGACACGCGCCTCAGACGCGTCGTGCACTCTCACCCACTGACACTCGTCAACAGCGCCTCAAAGCCGCACTATGGTTTGCAGTCGGCAAAATGGTCGACGAACAGTCTCTGCGACGCAACAGGAATGCCACACCGCAGTTTATCGGCGCTCTGACGGAAATGGTTTGGACTCAGATCGGTGAGCACTCTCGAGTTGCTGTACTTGTTGTGCAGCCACAAGATCTGACAAGTGGAGCAGAGAATGTTGCCATAGATTTGGAGAGCTTCAGTCGCCATGCAGGCCGCACCTCCATCACCACTGACGATGTTCTGCTCCTAGCTCGGCGGAATGCAGACTTGAACGGCATCATTAAGGACTTCGTCGACGAGCAGAAGGCAGCCAAGGTCAGCAAGGGGAAAGGAAAGGCCAAGTGATGAAGGACCAAGCAGTGACATCAGATGCCACATTGAGGAACATCGTCCAGCATTCAAATGGCAGCGGATCCGATCGAGCCGCGGCGCAAGTCTTTGCGCCGATCACGCCCCCCTGTCAAAATGCCCGCTCTGTGGGTTGGATGGGGAAGACAGAGACAGACGCAATTCCTCGGAGGAAGATGGCCCTTGCTTCGGACACCAATGGTGGATTGAAACTCAACGATACGAGCGCTGCACGGCGTTCCATTCAAACATTGCCGTTGAAAACATGTGCCTCAGTTCGGGTCCGGCAGTGATAGCCACGAGTCGTGAACGGCCAGAGCAGAAGAACGAGTCTCTCGGAAAGATTGGGAAAAACCGACACCAGTTTCCCCGACGGACGACGAATCTTGGGGAATCTGTCCGACGGATACCGGCTTGAGACTGGTATCCACCACGCTCCATATATCCCTTACGCCAGAAGGGACCCGTCAAATAAGACACAAACTGCCTACCCGGGTTTAAAGCAACGGTGTCTAGCCTTACATGGTCCTGGGCTTTTTGGACTCAACACCGTCTAGTGAGCATGTCATGGCTCAGGATCACCGACTTGGCTGCGACCACGGCAAGAGAAAGCTGCAAATGTCTAGGCTGAATTATGAGCACAAAAGCAGAGAGAGGTGCAGTTCTGTTGAATCCTTGGCCACTATTCAACCTCTGCCAGTTCATCAGTTTAATTTTTCATGTCAATCAATTTCAAATACGCGTATGCAAGCAGCCTCAATACGCTTCGTACTAGAGCATGAACGATTATCCATGCATGAACCCACCGCGAGAGTCAGGATCCTTCTGCAATAATACCGGGTACTATCACTCAGTGATTAAACTCCTCCTTGCTGTAGAGGTGAAACTTTGATTTCCAGTCTTCGATACCCCAAGACGCTTGTCAGTCGAAGTCTGGTTCACACGCGCAAAGGCAAGACTTGCCTCGACAAGAGGGGACTTGTCGTTGCCGCATCTCTGCCGGCGCTACCAAGCTCCACGAACGAGATGCTTTCATACTTCATAGGAGCCTTGTCAGGCCACTACCCTCCTGATCACGCTCATGTAGGAAAGCTTATCCCGAGAAGGAGGTCCCGGTTGCAGTCGCGGAACCGCAAAACAGAGGGCCGGGATATAGTTCCCGGGGCCGGAGCGGCCCCGGCTGCAGCCTTTGATGGCACTTGTCATGCACTGGCATATGCAGCAGGGAAAGGCAACAGTTCAAAGATTATAGGGTTCGGATGGCGGAAATCTTCGCGTTTTGTGCGGTCGCTTGGGGGCCACGGCATCGTCAGCATCGCTGTCATTCATGTAAGCTTCTGTCAGCCACGCCCGTCAGCACACCGGCCCGCCATGCAGTGGATTTCTCCCGGCGGAGCACAGCAGTACAAGATGAACAACGGGCCCTGTCAACAGCATTATTAGAGCGATGCCGATCCAGCCCGGATGGCCGCTTGAGCGCCTAGAATGGCGACCCCCATGATTATCGCAGGGCTCGAGCATGGCACAAGGATGAAAAGACAAGGGGCCCGGTGATACGGTCTTATCCGCCGGAATGGTGACGGCGTTGGGCTAGCGCAGCCAGACGTTGCAGCCCTGATGAGATCACCTTGTGCAACCCCAGGGGTATTTACAAGCCCTTGAATCCTTCTCAGTCATCCCTGAGGGCACTCCGGCTTCGAAAAAAAAGAATGACTTTCCTGCAATGCAACTATTCCTTTCTCTTCCTGTTTCTCACCGAAGAAACAAGTCCGGAACGCTCCGAGGCAATTCCTCGGAAATTTCCACCCATTCCCTAGCCCATTTCCGAGTGGTGAGCGGAAACCAGCCCAACCAGCAACCGACCTTGGGCACCGGACTTCGGAGGTGGCTGCCCCCACTTCCCAGCTCATCCCTCGCTCGCTGCCCTCAATGACCCAGATGCCGACTCCGCCCCCGATCTCAGACTCGTCCAGAGGCCTGAGGTTCAGGGCCGTGAACGATCCGACACACGAGCAAGACCCGGGGCCCGATCCGGCGCCGGCAATGGACGACATTCCCACGATCAGAGGAGGGGGAGGCCGGGCCAGTGGCGGCCACGGCCACAGCAGGGCTGATGCGGGCCCCGAGCTCACGCGCCGCGCCGTGGGGCCTCGGCTCTACCACAAGAAGTCGAGGATGGGCTGTCTCAGATGCAAGGCTCGCCGAGTAAAGGTGAGTGAGTTACTTGTTCTATGCTATGCGTATCCTCTGCCACGCCCAGCAGCAGAGTGGGGTGTGTCACCAGGGCGGACGGGGGTCATTGTATATGCACGTCTTGTCATTCGTCCAGAGACCTTGTTGACCTACTTCTTGTTGTCACCGGCCCTTCACTCATTCTCACTCGCCCATAGTACAAGACCCGACCGCCTTGGCCGTATCGAGGCGGGTTTCTACTACCAACTACTGACTGACATGCCCGTGACATTGTAGTGCGATGAAGCACACCCCGTGTGTAGCGGCTGTAGCCGCCACATGGTGGAGTGCGTCTACCCCTCGCGCGGAACTCCCTCCCAGGGCAGCAGCCGCCAGGACGCCGCCGCCATCAGCCTCCGCGTCACCCGCGCCGAGTCCTCCTCCGGCCACAGTGACCAGGGCTTCTCGCCGAACGCCTCGTCGGCGGCCTCCACGCACCCCGGCTCCGACTCGTGGGCCTCCCGCACGCCGGGCCCGGAGCCGCACTCCCTCCCCGTCCCGGTAGAGCCCGGCGGGTTCTCCCCCATGACGCCCGGGTACACGCCGTACTCGGCCAGCCGGGGCCTGTCGCCGCCCCATCTCGGAGGCTACCCGCCGTCCGGGGCCGGCGGCGGTACCCTGCCCCCGCTGGCGAGCCGCGCCGCCTCCGTCGTCAGCAGCAGCTCGTCGTCGCAGGCCGGGAGCATCGTCCGCGAGGCGAACGACTACCTGTCGCACCTGACGGACCCGGAGATCCTCGACATCCCCGAGTCCAAGGAGCGCCGGATCTGGGAGCTGCGGCTGCTGCACAACTACATGGTCAACTTCGCGCAGCAGGCCGCCACCTCCAGGGTGGATCTAGGGCTGGGCCCACAGCCGAGGCCGTCGCAGGGGGTGACGCCCGAGGACGGCGGCAGCGGCGAGGCGGCGGCGGCGGCGGGAGGCGGCGCGTTCGGGCGGGATTCGTTCCTGTGGGGCCTCGAGATCCCGCTGCTCGCGTTCGAGGACGACGCGATCCTCTACAGCATGCTGGCGTCTAGCGCGCTCAACATGTGGACCAAGAGCGGCGACGCGCGCGAGCGCGACGAGCTGCGCCTGTGCCAGCAGAAGTACCTGTCCATGGCCCTGCGCGAGCAGCGCCAGGCCGTGGGGAACCTGAGCCGCGACAACGCCGACACGGTGTGCATGTCGTCGCTGACCATCCTGCAGAACTCGTTCGCCCTCGTGCAGACGCTGCCCGTGCGGCCCTGGCAGCCGCCGCTCGAGTGGCTGCGCATGGGGAAGGGCGCCGGATCCGTGCTGACGGTCGCGAGGGGGTACCTTGGCCCACCTTCTGGCGGCGGCGGCAGGGGGGACAAGACGACGCGGTTCCTCAACAGCATGCCGAAGATGGACCCGGACGAGATGTTCACGCCGGCGAACCGCGCGCACCTGGCGTGGGTGCTGGACAACGACCGCGGCGGCAGCGCCACCGCCGACGCCGTGGGCGTGGCCGGGGCCCGGGGCCGTGGACCACGAGCTGCAGGACAAGGTGACCCTGGGCGTCTACAACCGCGTGCTCAGCTACATCGGCGCCGTGCAGAAGGCCATCGCCGACGGCGAGCCGCTCAACACCATCTGCCGGCGCTTCATCGGCTTCGCCGTCTGGATGCCCGAGGTGTACCACGACTTCCTGACGCAGCGCCGGCCGCGCGCCCTCGTCACGCTGGCGCACTTCTTCAAGCTGTGGATCCCCTATGAGGACTCGTGGCTGATCGGCAAGACGGGCGAGAATCAGGTCCGCGGTATCCGGGAGGCCCTGCCGCCGCAGTGGAGGCACAAGGTCGACGGGATCTTCGAGGAGTATCATTTGAGCGTCGGGTGAATGGGCTTCGAAAATCGAAATTGCACAATATTCAACAGGACGGCTACACGGCCTTGTCGAGCCACGCATCACAGGGCACCGCATGTCTACAGCCGAATGAAAGAGCCGTGACAGTGCCACCGGCTTGCTAATGCCATATGATGGCTGCAGGAAGTCTCCAGCCGAAACCGACGCTCAACAAGTCACCGGCCATGCGAGATAGAGCACGGAACAGGGGCACGCGACGGACAGAACCGACGCAGAGAGGGCGGCGGCATGACTTGCGCAGCTGTCGCCACGACGATTCGAAAATTCCAGGCCCGGCACTATTACAAGCAGGGAATACACGCTTTGGTCGACACGATACACAACAAAGCAACAATCCAGCTGCGGAGAACGATTGGGCGAGATTCTGCAGCTAAGCGGCTCATCGAGCGCACTCAGGTGTGGATAGGGACGCTGCTGTCCTGTCGCGTAACTTTTATCCACATCGACGCCCTGTCTGAAGACAACAGATGTTTCTCCGCGGAAGGGCAAGTAGAAGCATGATAATCACGTGCAGCCCGCCGGCTCACGCTGTCGTGGATGGAAGCCGAGCCAGGACATTGCAAGTGGAGGTTGTATGAAGGTTTCAACCTGAGGCATCCCACAAATGTGACTGAACGAGACACAGTCCAAGAATGTAACATACCTAAATGCCCAGTCTGGAGGCCGCGGGGGCCACAGGGACTAAGTCAGCCATCTCGAAACAGAAGCACATATAGGCTGATCAAGGCAGTCTAACAGGGTACGGCAAGAGAGAGAGAGAGAGAGAGAGAGAGAGAGATCGATCAGACTCAGTAAAGAAAATACAATGTTTGGCATCAACAGACCGTGTCACGGGTCATCAGTTAAGCCATGCAAAATTGGTTGAATCATCATGCGATAGGCACAAACACATGTGTAATGGCTTGCGCTAGAAGAAATGCCACAGAATTGCTTGAAAGCTTACCATGTTTTGCGCACGCCGTTGCAGCGGCGATCGGGAATAACGAAGAGGGTGGTCACGCGACCACCAAACAACCCAGCAAACACATTCCCCCAGTATGGTATGAATTCAGGAGACTGAGACGAGACGGTGCTGAGGCATGCATGTGTGTGTGTGTGTTCGCGTGTTCGCAGGTATAGCTGATCGATGTCGGAATAAGACACGTTTTACCTTTGGCACAAAGAGAAAACGAAAGCAGAGGGGAAGAGGTTTGGGCCTCTTGTTCAGACGCGGTAGGTATTAGAAGGAAGGGGGAGGGGGCCTTCCCCGCATGCTGTACACATGTGTGCTAATGGCCTGACCTGTCACCAACCCGGGCCGTTGGGGACCCACGGCTACTTGCAGGGGCGGGGGATCATGGCCCAAATCACACTCACGTTTACTCCATCTATTCCGGCTTGTCGATTACCCGGATGAAAGACCAAATGTAACGACAACATGGGCTCCAGCGAAGGAAAAGACATCGAGTGATGTTGTGGGTTGTGAGCGAAGGACACACAATTGCGTCGCCCCCAACTTGAACTGGAGCTCAGCCGCACAGCGTACAGTAGTAGCTCATTGCTAGTTATGCCGTGCAACCCCCCCAAACCGGTCATGCATACTGCGTTGTGCGAAGGAGTGGCTGCCAACGGTTCCGGTCGTCTTCCACAGCCACATTGCCGGCCTCCAATTTGCAAGAGGTCGACCATTCAGCTCGTTGTCCAGGCTCGCGCGGGTGGCTGGTGTGAGGTCACTGCTGGACCGCGCAGATGCACATTTAATTAGAGCGCGCACAGCACAAGTAGAAAAAGCTGCCAGTGCTCACGTGTTCGTAAAATCAACAAGGCTGTCAGTTCTTCCTCTGACCGTTGTTGCCTCTGTCTATTCAGAACTCATGGATTCTCAGCAGCCCTTATTCTTTTAATTCCCTGTTTATTTTCTTCAGGTTTGACACGGACTCAGCCGCGACTTTCAGAATGGACCCACTGACTGCGTTCGGGCTGGCCGCCAACGTGGTCTCCTTCGTCTCCTTTGCATCTGGCCTGATCAAGACGACTGTCGAGTTACACCGGTCTGGTTCTGACGCCGAAGACGATGTTCTGTCACTGGAGAAGGTCTACAGAGACCTCGAGACCCAGAGCAGCGAGTTGGAACGCACTGCTCATGGCAACACTCCTCCGTGGGTCCCGACTCCGGATGAGTGTGAGGCTGAGAAGACGGTTCTTGCGGTCAAGAGGCTTGCCGAGTTATGCAAAGGGGATTGTGATGAGCTGTTACAGATCACCGACAAGCTGCGGCTGAGAAGGGGTGACCTTGGAAGCAAATGGAAGAGCTTCCGTGTCGCTATAAGGAAGGTTTGGAAGGAGGGTGACATTCAGGACATAGAAGAACGCCTCCATCAGAGACAAGCGACGTTGACGCTCTATATCTGCACGCTCTCTAGGTATCACCTCCATATCATTCCCGCGCGAGTCCAAATCTCAGCCTGTCGAATCTGGGATGCAGCATGAGACGGCACTGACGATTCGGTAGCTATTATCACAAGAGTCACTCCAAATTGCAAGACCAGAGCGTGGAGCTGCAGATCGACCAGAATGAAAGGCTCGAAGAAGTCAAGAAATCGTTGACCCGATTTGAGCAGATGCTTGCAGACGCTCGCAATGACAAAGACGCCAGGCTCATCCCATTCCGCAATTATGAATTACTTGACCAGCTTCTCAGGCAATTTTGGACTGCCAAGGATCTCCGCAGCAAGTTGCGGGGTATCATGGCGTCCTTGCAATTCGAGGCTCGTCCTCGAAGACACGAAGCTATCCCCGAGGCCCACAGACGAACATTCCGGTGGCTACTTGATAGTCAAAACAGCGAGGATAAAAATCAGCATATTTCAGCCAAAGACGACGACCAAGGAAAAATCACATTTGTCCAGTGGCTTGAGTCGGGGGACGGGATCTTTTGGGTTTCAGGAAAGCCAGGCTCCGGAAAGTCGACATTCATGAAGTTTGTTGCCGGCGCAGCGAGGACCCATCAACTTGTGTCTCGTTGGGCAAGTTCGACTATTATTGTCGCCCATTATTTCTGGAGCTCTGGCTCGTCGATACAGAAGTCTCTGGAAGGACTTCTCCGATCGTTACTCTACGATATATTTCAGCAGCGCCCAGATCTCATCCCTATTGTTTGTCAAGAACGGTGGGGGGAGTTGGATGATCTGAACTTCCCTAACGGAAGATGGTCGCTACGCGACCTAACGGAAGCCTTGAGGAATATCACCAAGGAGGAGACCCAGAAAAGAATTCATATTTTGTTCTTGATTGACGGCATGGATGAGTTTGAAGGAAGCCATGATGACCAATTCGAATTAGTATGTCTTATTTCGCTCCCATGGCCCCTTATTCTGATCCTTAAAATTCGGCAAACACTGAGGCTTATTTCTTTTGGACAGTGCCAAATGATGTGTGATCTAGCTCGATCTCGGCATATCAAGTTTTGTATATCAAGCAGGCCATGGAACGTATATGAGGAGGCCTTCGGCAGAGGGCCAAAGCTGTACATCCATGACTTGACACAGAATGACATCAGGAACTATGTTTCTGACCGTCTTTGCGAACATCCACAGTGGCCTTACTTACTGAATTCAAGCCCAACCGACAGCCAGTGGCTGATCGAAGCGATTGTCAACCGCTGTGATGGGGTTTTCCTCTGGGTATTCTTGGTGACGAAGCTACTGCGCGAGGGAATGACGAATCGAGACCGCTTCCCGGATTTGCGTAGGAGATTGGAAAGCTTCCCCCGGGAGCTCAGACCCTTCTTCAGGCAAATACTGGACTCTGTGGAACCCATTTACCACGCAAAGAGGGCTGCTATGCTCCGGATTGCGCTCACAGCAGAGAAGCCACTACACATGATCATGTACGACTTGCACGACCTGGAGCATGACGACGAGTACTACTATCGACCAAGGCTTATTAAGCCTTTTACTTTGGAAGGGCTTTCCCAAGTCAAGACCCGCATAACATATCACCTGGATAGCAGGACGCGTGGCTTGCTTGAAGTCTCACCTACCTTGGAGGTCACCTTCCTCCACCGAACCGTGAAGGACTATCTTGCCAGCGAAGGCCTTTCACACTTGCCGGAAATAGACCTCCCGAGGGGCTCGGGTCGTAAGTTCAGCCCGGAGCTCAGCATACTGCGTGCATACGCAGCATGGGTCAAATGTGCGGCTCCAGATAGACTACACCGATATAAATTTGCCGAGTACTCGTACGCGGGTGGCGGGAGCGGGATTTACGGCATCACGCCGAGCATCATCGAGCTCACGACAGATCTGATACCATATGCCGCGCAGCTGGACAGGCAGATGCCCGTCGACCCGCGCCTGGGCGAGGCCCTGGACGACATAGACAGCAGCATCGCGACCCTGATATCCCGGGCCAGGTCACGCCCGGGCTCCTCCGGCGAGGAGGCCTGGAACGAGGACAGATTGTTCGAGGATTATGGGATCTGCGCCGGGGGCAAGGGGTCTCAGGAGGACTTCGCATGGGCCACGAATGTGTTCTTCCGGGAGCGACTCGCCAAGGCAGGCGTTACCAACTACGTCGCCGCCAAGGAGTTGAAGGAGCCTACCACGGGAAGGTCTCTGGTCGCCCAGAGGAGCTTGGCCGACGACCAGTATTGGTGGAATCAACGGGTCTGGTTCGCCTACCTCCAAAGCTTCCGTCTTTTCAGGGGGTTATGGGAAGTATATGCGATTCTGTTCAGATATTTCCTGTTTTTCCTGTTCCCATTCACACTCCGCCTGGGCTCATTTCTCATACAATGTCTTCCACCATTCTTGAGTCGATTAGTTATCATTCCTTTTATGTCCAGAATAGCCAAGTACGCCTACGCAAACAGTTACTAGAGGGGAATTGATGTCTAGAAATTGTAGAGCGAGAAACCTTCCCACGTAACTCAAACCTCTTGTTGCGCTTAGAGCCCCGGTTGTGCTGCCGCTGAGGGACATGCAGTGACGCGAAGAATAAGGCTCTACCCTAAGTGAACCTGGCAACTGTATCATTTTGCCAGGCATATCCGCCTCAGTTAACATCTTAGTGACCAAGCATTCCAGATGATAAGCACGGCCGTCGGCCCGTCCACGCGTTCTGGCAGTCAGGGCAGTTTGGCGGCCGTCCCTATGGCGAACACGCAACAGTGTCAAAAGAGAACTAAAGGACGGGAAGGAACACCCTAGACCTGGCTGAGGAGGCAGGTTCCTAGTGCAGGTACTGAGGAATGTAATTAGCAGACGATCGGGGGCCAGGAAGGAGCTCGTGGAATGGGTCGTGCCGCATGGACGACACCGTACTACCCAATCTCACACACACGCGCTGACACGCGATGTCACCGTCTCACGATTTTAAATTATGCACAGGCTAACAGTGAGAAGTTGACTTGGGCCGCTTGAACGCCAGATCCCAAAGCTTCATGTTTTCTACATTATGTGTAGTGAATCATGTTAGGTGTCTCGCGAGTACTGTAGGATATGAATTTCATGTGATTTCCACTGGTATCACCACCGAGATCCAACTCGGCCGAACTCATGCGTGAAATGCAATCAGAACACCACCGTCCATGCTTTACCAGATAATCTCAAAAGCTCATCCTGATCCATGATGCTCTTTTCCCTAGTAGAGATGTATCTTCCTCTGATGCTCATGAATGAGAAATCGTAGGCCGTCCTTGCTGAGCACGCGCCTCTCCACCGTACAAATTCCCGAAGTCGATCGAGTGCATCTTGATACGACTCTTTTATTCACACAGAAGCCATCCAAACTCCGCCGCTGTGCAATGGTCACAACCGAACCGTTCTCCATTCCATTAGTTTGCTTCGTCTATCCTCCATGCTAGAGGTTGTATTGTCCAGCCGATTCCTGCAATCAAGACATGTCTGCGAATGTGATTCGTTCGTCCAAAATCCGAGACCCGAGACCCGAGACCAGCTCCCGCTTCGACGATTGGGGCGACGGTGACAATTATGTGAACGTAAGCCCGCTGTTGCACCAGTTGCTGACAGGCTGTGACAAGAGTTAGCGGTTGCCCTAGGACTTTGAATACACCGTGTGAGACTTACCAAGCAACTCAGATACTTGCACCAACTGCAGGTCTTACGATAGACGTAGAAGTTCTGCAGCAGCACAATGAACACAACAAATACCAGCAGCAACGCACCAGCACGGACCAGCCACCAGGCCCACCAGAATGGCTTTCGGCCCTTAAAGAAGCCAACCGGGTTCTTTAGGAACCCTGGTGGCTTGTCCCCTGTATAGCCTGAGTTGACTGTCGAGTAGGGCGAGTCATCGCCTATCCTGCGACGCAACGCGTTCGGGGAGTGCAGCACTGAGAGGCCCAGAGCGAGACCCATCAACAAGCCACCGATGTGGGAGAAGTTGTCAACACCTGGTAGGAGACCGAGGACGAATGAGATGATGATGTCCAACATTATGAACATCAAATCCCGCACAGGCGTGATACGGTCCGACCAGGAATAGAAGAGGTCGAGCAGTGTCAGAGCGATGACGCCGAAAAGTGAGCCGGATGCGCCGGTAGAAGCCAACCCGGCACCTGCGTAGTTGCCGCCCAAAACGAAACCGAATATTCCAGAGCACACGTAGACCAAGAAGAACCGGAGTGACCCGATAGACCTCTCCATCTCCTTGCCCATGGTTAGCTGGAGCAGCAGGTTAAAGGCGATATGGATGAGTCCGGCGTGCATGAACATGGGCACGATGAAGCGCCACCACTGGTTAGGTTCCGGTTTGTCGCTCATGCTTGCGTCGGCGCTGTATTTGGGCTCAGGAATGCCCCCGAATCCACACAGGTCGGACAAAGTACAGGTATATGTAGCAGTGTCGGATGAGGTGGTGCTGGGACAGGGCCAGCTTATGTTCTCGTGGGCGTTCGTGATGCCGTCCACGTTGTGCATGCAAGGCGTAAACCTGGCGCCGAAGTTGATCATAACATACGTCGACGGGCCGATCATTGGGTTGAAGGAGGGTTTTATCATGATCGGAGAACCGGTCTCGATGACTACAAGACATGTCAGTGCCCGGATTGTCAGTGAGCTAGATGTTCGAAGCGGGCTTACCATTCTTCGCAACTTCGCCGATGAAGACGCCTACCTGCACCACGGTGAAGATGTAGACGACCCAAGGAATGCGGTTGCCGTATGCGCCGAACATGCCCAGCTCGCCAAACCGCACGCCTTGCTTCCTCTCCTTCCGTCTCCGCTGCGGCGCCTCGTAGACGTGGTCGAGATCGTCATTCGGATCTTTGGCTCCACGGTCCTGCAGAGGAATGGCGTCTTGCGGATGTCCTCGGTCGTCGGATGGCGAGCCATTTCCGCCATGGTATGATGTATCCTGGCCCGTCAGGTGCTGGCGACTCGACCCTGCAGACTGATACGAGCTCGCTGGGTAGGCATGGTCGTCGAAAACGGTATCGAAGGGCGAAACGGATTTAGTCGAGACTGGCGAAGGTTCCTGTCCTGGTGGCTGGGTGCCCAGGTGCTGCTGGGTCGTGTATGAAGGGGGATTCGAGTAGGACGGGGCGTTCGAGTACAGAGAGGGTGCCGGCGCGGGAGTGGGTGCCCCGTAAGCTGTTGGCGCAGTGTAGACCGACGAGCTGTATGTGTCTTGCCTGTGCTGTGGTGGGATGGAGGGGAGCGATGGGACAGCTGAGGCGTAGGTGTCGGATCTCGCAGGGTATGCTTGGTGGGCGGGAAGGGTGTTGCCTCGCTGTGAGTAGTGCGAGCTGGCGTAGGAGCCGACCGTGTCCTGGCGATGGGGACCATCCATCGGGGCCGGCGAGGAAGTCAGCGGTGGGGGCAGAGGCTTGTTGAGGTGGTCCTCGCTGTAGTAGTCGTGGGAGGCCATGACGAAATGGGGTTGCGAGAGCCGCGCTCAGCTCAGCTCGCGTACGACCAGGCGCTAGATCTTAACCTTGATCCTCCCCCGGATGTCAACGTAACAATCGGAAGAGCAACCGAAGAAGCGAGGGAGCGAGCGACAGTCAAGCGGCAGAACGACGCTGAACGAGTGTGAGTGTCGTTGTAGGTGTCGAGTCGGAGAAAAAAACGAGGATATGTACGGAGACGCGGATGGAGATGGAGATGGGGGAGCCAAGACGGGGCGGAGGGTAGAGTTGTTGAATGGAGTTGGGGTGGGAGCAGGATCGGGTTCTCAGGAGGTTTTGGTTTCAGGGACCCGAATCTTGAAAATGCGCTGCCGCTTTGATGCAGCTGTGCCTATCCCTGTCTGGACCCAAGGAAGAAGGCTGTACTCGCAAAAAGTCTCCGTCAGGCCAGATTCAGAGGAAGGCTGAGTTCAGATTCATTTGCCAGACAGACAGATGATTGTTGTGGCTGCCAGTCCTTCTGCCCCACAAGGTGCAGATGACAATGAAGAGAGCAGGATAATAAAGCCAGATCCAAAATGACCACGCAGGATGTCAGCGCTGGTAAACGGCAGTAGCGGCAGTGGTAGTGATCATGGTTTGACTGTGTTGATCGATGTCAGGGTAATGATTGTCTCCAGGCCGTCAACACACCCGAGGTGGCTTTTTCTCTGTTTGGCTTGCAGCACCCCATCCATCCATCTCATCCTTTTTTGTTGATCACAAACCAAGTGCAAGCAGAGCTGACGTTGACCTGCGCGCAGCAGACGGGGCAACAAAAGTGGGTTCTGCCCGCAAAGACTTGGAAGAGAGACCAGGGGCTGGGCTGGGCTGGTGCTGGCTGGCTGGGGCTGGGCTGCGTTGTTCACCCCAGCTCGCCCAGGGCCAGGGCCGCGGCCACTGGCAGGGCAACCTTTGGAGCCACCATCCCCATATTCCACAGATTATTATTATGGGACGATCGACCTGCGCACGACGGCGTTACGAAGTGTCTGTGGCGTCATCCCAGTTCCCAGGCTGTACCCCGTTACTGCCCCATCAGCAATGTCTTCGTCGCTGGCTGCCAAGCTGTTAGTGCACTGTCAGACCCCAACCGTCCTGCCGCCCTTGACGAGTGAGCCTTGGTTGCTGTTTTTAGAAACCAATCCACCCCCCTTCCCTTCAACGGCTTTTCTCTAGCATCTCCAGTTTCGGTATTTGCTGCGTCACTAAGTACCACCATGGCTAGCAGAGCCTTCAGATACAGTCACCTCGTGTGGTTCAGCGTGACTGTCTTTCACATTCAAGACGGCTCAGACGGCATCAGCAACTAGTGATTTTCTCTGTCCTCCCTACAATTATGCGCGTCTTTGTTCTTAGAGGCCTCCACTCCGACGCCATACCGGGCTGCCAGAATCACAGCTTCCAAGCACCGTGGCGTTGGGAATCTGCACCAGAAGTGACAGCTTTCCAGGCCGGCTGGCCGGCCGCTTTAGATGAAGTGGCTGCACCACCCAACTCAAAACCGGCAGGAATCACATCGCGGCCGCATTCAAGGGACTAAGAGCCGACCCTAGGATATCACCCAATGGCTACGCTACTTCTGCTGATGGGAAGCCAGTCGCCCAGATGTGGACTGCCACGGACGATTGAGTTGTGGGTACACGAATGAACATCCTACGATGCGCAGCCACTAATCGAGACGATTCAATGGTGGTTTTCGCAATGGTCTCGTCCGTAGTGGTTCACTGCCAACAGGTTACGAGGTCAGTGGCTGAGCTGTAAGATGGGCGCGTAGTACAACCCGCAAAAGTACGTGCTTCAGCTGTCAGCAACGGCGTTCGTCCCACTCCAGTTTGAGCTGTCATTGCGATCAAAAGGTAATTGATTTTCAACCAAAGCTTTGCCGGACAGCCAAAAGTCGTGACCAGATGAATGGGAGTGATATCGAGAAGGTCCAAGCCTGACAGGAAGTCATAACCTAGAATAGTTTAGACTGAGTAGAAAGCGGTTGTTGAAGTGTTGACATGATTTGTTTACTCAAAACCTCACTCTCCCGGTACTTCAGTCACGATATGAGATCTTTCAGTTTACTTTCTGAACCTTCTTGAAAACTTCCAGCCCTTACCAGCCACTGGAAAGGGAAACCCGCCCGCGAGGGGCCGGAAAGGTGGGGGGGGGGGGGGGTTTGGTTGACTTGCACGATGCACGATAAGGGTTCTTATCGCCGCTTCCCAGATATCTCGCCAAAAAGTTTCGCGACAAGGCCTGGACCCTTTCGAAGATCCCAGCTGCAACCAACAGCCGCGCGCATCATACCCACAACCGAAAATGGGAGCCGTACGGACAAAGACGGTCAAGAACAAGCACGCTACGCGTGGCTCCGGCATCAAGAACAGCAAGGCGGCCAGCAAGATCGAGAACGACCCCGTCGTCAAGGCGAAGAAGAACAAGGATGGCAGGAAGGCACCCGTAAAACCAGGCCAGCTGGCTAAGGAGCTGCAGAAGAAGCGCAAGAAGAAGGTTTACAGCGAGAAGGAGCTGGACATACCGGAGCTCAACATGGTGACGCCGATCGGGGTGGAGAAGCCTAAGGGCAAGAAAAAGGGCAAGGTCTTCGTCGATGACCGGGTAAGAGACGCCCAGCCTATTGCCCTAGCCAACAGCTTTATCCTGGCGCGCATAAGAGTCAAATTGCTGACGAACTATTGTCTGTACAGGAGAGCATGAACACGATCCTGTCCATGGTCCAGGCCGAGAAGGACGGCCAGATCGAGTCCAAGATGATGAAGGCGCGGCACATGGAGGCGATCCGCGAGGCGCGCAAGCAGGAGGCCGAGAAGAAGGCGGCAGAGCGCAAAGAGAGGCTGGATGAGACCAAGGAATCGCTGCGCAAGAAGCGCAAGAGGCCGGAGCGCGGGTCTGCCGGGGACGACGACAAGGCCGCCGAGCGGTCTATGAGGAATGTCGAGCTGCAGGGCACCAAGGCCGCCAAGCCCAAGAACAAGAAGCGCGTCTCTTTTATTGAGTGAACGACGGCGTTGGTGTTCCCGGGGAAGGAAAAGATCCAAGCCGAGCCACTTTGCTGGCATGCATACATACCTGAGGGGAGGATGGATTCATTGCATGGCGTTTTTGGAGTTTTCGGACAGACGGGGCAACGGATTACAAAAAGTCGGCTTCAAGAGCTCTTTGGTGGATGGCTTTGCCTCTACTTCTGGTGGCGAGTCCCAATTCGAACAGGACGACACAGGATCTCCGCGGGCGGTCCCCCAAGTTAAGATCGACTTGCCGAAGGATGACAGCTGAGGAACCCCCAAGACGATTTCTACCATCGTGGTTCCAAAGTCGATACAGGCCACGAGACAAGCTGGATGGTCCTCCAGTTTGTCTGGACTCGGTCAGCACGTATCGCGGTCACCGCCTGTCAAAAGCTCACCACTCACATTTGTCCTGGGCTGTAGGGATCAGGGACCCGATCAAGGACCATCTTCTAGTGTAATAACCGCCCAGATAACAATCATATACCCCAGGCGGTAATGTGCCTCGACTCTGTCTATCTATTCTAACATCCAGTCTATCCGTATCTATAATATATTTTCTCCGCTGTACAAGTCATTAGACTTTCGTATATCATGCAAGTTGAGTGATTTACTCCGGGATCTTGACCTCCATCTTCCGCCGCATAGGGTCAAAGCTTGATCCGTATTGTGGTGTAATGACGGTAGTGCCGTTTGCCTGTTTATTGATCGACTTAAGATCGACATTCGTCGCCATGTGCTTCAAGAAGTTGGACACCTAAAGTGGTCAGCAGGGCTCGCATCTTGAGCACATCTCAGTTTTAGGTCAGACATACAGGCTTTGCATGCCATCGGCCACCGCCCATCTCGAAGAAGGCGAGATGGCCACCGAGGGACGTGGTCAGGCAGACTGTGTGCGGATTCTTCTTGAACTCCTGGTAGGGAATAGCCTTCTCCACAGCGATCTGTATTCTGTCAGTAATCGTTTCCCGCAATGATTGCATTTCAGCCGGGAACTCACAGGGTCATCTGCCGCTTGGATCGCAAGATAAGGTATCCGAATCGCCAGCACCGAGTCGCTCGAGGAAGCGTCGCGGTAGTAGGCTGATTCTGTGGGATAGCCCCAAGAGATACATCTGGGAGTTCTTAGCGTGGCACTTTCGCATATTCCAGGTCCGACTTTGCTTACTGGACTTCTCTATCGAACTCGTAAAGATAGGTGACATTCTGAATAGCTTCGAAATCTAGCTTCGTATGCTTGATTATTGACTCTTTGTGGCGCAGGATGAGCTTCTTCATGTTAGCTGGGAGAGCAGGTCGTCAGTAAGTAGCACGAAAAGAGAAATTGACCGCACCTGTTTGCACGAACTTCCCATGACCCTTTGGTACACTTCCTTCCCAAGCACAGAGCTCTGGAGCTGAATGTTGGACACCTCGAGGTTGAACGGGTTGCCGACGACGACGGCCGCACTCAGGAGACAGTTCGAGCCCTCCTCGCCCACGAAGTTGGTCAGGATGTTGGCGCCCAGCGAGAAACCCAGGCCGAAGAGGGGCCGGTTCGGGAACGCCTTCCTCGCCCACCTCACGACCTGCCTCACGTCCCAGGTCGCCCTCGCGTTGAACAGCACCCCGCTGGTGACCTCGCTGTTTGCGCAGCCCCTCGCGTTGACGACGCAGCACTCCCAGTCGCCGCCATCCGCGATCAACGGCTCGATACAGTGTCGGAGATAGACCTCGTACGAACCCCCTGACAAGCCATGCAGAACGATGAGCATGGGTTTGCTGTCATCCGAGGCCAGCGCTTCGAATTCGGCATCTTTGAAATACGATGTCCGGGGCGGCAGGGCGTTGTCATGCTCCTCGTGTGGAGGCGTAACAAGGTCCACAGCAAAGGTCCCGGTGTAAGTATGGTGATCCGCGTTGAAGATCTTCCTCTTGTAGTAGACATGAGGTGCAGCTTTGCCCACGGCCGTCCACATGGTCTGCAGGTGGCCGTTGAAGAGGAGTGGGTTCAGCTGGCATGTCGGAGTGATCTTCTCGCAAACCTTCAGCAAATCGGTTTCGTTGCCGTCCTTCTCCTTGAGCGCAAAGGGGGACACATGGTGAGTGTATTTTATCTTGGCACGGCCTAGCCAGTCCATTGGTGACCGCAGGGCTCGAACGAAGAGTGAGCGAGACAGTGTTGAGGACTTGGACTCCTAGTAGTAAGAATGCAGGCGATGGAGTGAGTGAGTGGCTGAAAGACTAAAGAAGCCAATGAGACTGAGTACCGGTGTACAGATAGGATTTTCGCGAAGTGAGAGATACAGTGGTCCAAGAACGAGAGCGAGCGCGGGATCTCCGTATGCAAGATAACCTTCTTTATTTTAAGGGCTTGTGCATCAGACCTGCAGCAACATGCGAACTGTCATCGGCAGACTCGGTGGGGCCCCTAGTTTTGCCTTCTGAGGGAGATCCAGATCCAGATTCCAGAATTCCAGGTCCCCATCCCAATGCTGCCTCGGCTCCTCGGACATGTCGCCGACCACGGCGCCGATGACAGGTGCATCTGCACGGACCATCGGGCGCACGTGGCGGTCGCGGCTTCCCACTTCCTGGAAGCCGCATCTGGCCAGGGATCGGCATCTTCAACCTCGACGTCCTTTGTAACTTGTCCCTGTCCGTCCTGCTCTGCCAGGAGGTGCCGTGTGTCTCTGCCCCTTGCCTCCGAAATCCATCCCATGCCATTGCTCCGCGGGGAACACTCGAACCAACGATGACTGCCGTAACGATTAGATGACCACGACATTGGAAGACTGGTGGATGAAATAAGCTGTAGAGGGAGAGGCCATCGGCAGAGTGCTCGCGAGGGGCAGATGCCGCCATGAACAATTGGGGCCAGCAGCCTCCGGGCCATGGGCAGGCCTATAATGGCCATGGCTATCAACAGATGCCCCCTCAGCCTGGATATCCGCAGCACCAGCAACATCAGCCGCAGCTTCAACAGCAGCAGTTTCAACAGCAGCATCAGCATCAGCATCAGCATCAGCATCAGCATCAGCATCAGCAGCAGCAGCATCAGCAGCACCCGCACCAGCAACAACAATATGGATCCGGGAACTCGATGGCGTACATGGGCAACCAGCAATATCAGGCAGGAGCCCACTTCCTTCCTGCACCTGCCCAGCACTCCCAGATGCAGCCGATGCCGCAGTACGCCCACGCCCAAGTCCAACCTCAGGCGCATCAGGCACATCAGGCACATCAGGCACATCAGGCACACGCCCACCCTGCCGCCATGAACAACTTCCATGCGCAACAGCAGCAGCAGCAGCACCAACAGCAACGTCAGTCGCATCAACAGCACCAGCAGCCTTTCAGCAACGGCGCGTACCAGCACCACGCTCCATTGCCTCAGCTTCAGTCTCAACCACAAGCTCAACCTCAACTTCAACCGCACCCCCAATACCTTTCCCACCACAACTACACGCCGCAAGTAGCGACCCCTTCTCCGAGACCGATACAACAACGCATCCCCTCGCAGCCTGCGCAAACAATACAACAGCCCTTGCAACCTCAACAACAACCGATACACCACCCGCAGCAGCTCATCCCCCAGAAGCGACGCTCCGTGGCACAACTGCAATCCCCACGGACGAACAGCCCGCATATGCCACCAGGCCAACTGCAGCCAGCGCAACAATTAAAATCCCCACGGGTGAACAGTCCACACATACAACCGGCAAAGCTACAGGCAGCACAACCATATCAGTCTCCACATGTGAACAGCCCACACATACAACCTGCACAGCTACAGGCGGCACAACCGTACCAGTCTCCACGAGTGAGCAGTCCGCACATACAACCATCACAGCTACAGGCCACAACATCGTACCAGTCCCCACGCGTGGGCAGTCCGCACATACAACCGTCACAGCTACAGGCAGCAAAGCCGTATCAGTCTCCGCGAGTGGGCAGTCCGCACATACAACCCGCACAGCTACAGGCTGCTCAACCGTACCAATCCCCGCGAGTGAGCGGTGCACACATGCCCACAGCGAAACCACCACTACCACAGCAGGTCCAATCTCCACGAGTGACCACCTCGCACATCCCATCGTCCCAGCTGCAGTCAGCACCGAAACCACAGTCTCCGCGAGTGAACAATCAACAAGCGCCAGTGGTTCATCCGCAACCAGCTCCGAGCGCACAAACGCCTCACAAGGTCGAGTCGCCAGTGCCATCGCCAGCACAAACGCAGGCTGCGTTGCAACCACAACAGCCTCCAGAACGCAAACAACCCGCTGCAGCGATCCAGCCACAGCCACAGCGGCATGTATCTGACGGCATTGATCCCACCCAGCTCATGTTGAAGCGAGAACCTCCAGCGCCGGCGAGGAAGTCTTTGCCAGCGCCTGTCACAACATCCCCAAGTAGTTCGACCAAATCACCAAGCATGCCGAACGCGCAAACGCCAACCAGTCATTTCGACACACCTGCTGTCTTGACCTGCGTCGCAGATGACTGCTTTCAGACTGCGCATGCGGCTGTACAGGACATCGCGACGTCGCTGGACAAGCAGCGCGTGGACGAATACTACAAGCTCGTCGCAACAGGCCTTGGTTGTCTTGATGCCGCACTCAACCTGAACAAGCTGCCCCCACGCGCTGAGGCAAACATTCGGTTGCGGTATGCGACAGCGCTGAGCGAGGAAACCGACAACTTGATGGAAGCAGAGACGGCCTTGACCAAGGGCATCGCAGTCTGTGAAAAGAACCGATTCACGGATCTGAAATATTGCATGCAATTTCAGCTGCTTAAGGTCCTGTTCAGGAGAAATCGCAAGGCCGCCTTCGTGGAGATAGACAAGAACATACAGGATGCGATTACGTATAAAGCGGTCGACTGGGTGTACGCGTTCCGGTTTTTGAAGGCTTCTCTCCACCTCCAATCTAGCAACCCAGCTGATGCACAGGCTCTGGATAATCTCCGCAGCATCACGAGCCTTGCGAACAACCGAGGTGACCTTGCGATAGCTGTATTGTCGTCTCTTCTCGAAGGGATAGTGCACCTCAAGGCCAGGAAAGAAGACTCGATCGTGCGGGTGCAAACGTGCATAGCACAAGCATCAAGATACCAGCTCGACCCGTCTGTCCAAATACCCCAAGTCGAAGTGCTCACCCTCCTCCTGGACCTGGCCTGCACGTTGCAGCAAAAGGCGCCACAGATTGCCATGCAGAAACTCAAGGCGCTGCAGGCCCGCATGGACGAGCTTGTTCAGGCACACGACTGGGATAAGATGCTGGACGTGCTCCATCTTCCGCTGAAGAGACAGCCCAACTCGAGCGCGGCGGTCACTGGTGACACAAAAACCATCATCTTACCTGGAGTCGGGGAGCACAACCTTATTGTCTTGTCATTCGTCACCAAAGTTCATGCATTCGTTCTGGCGTAAGGCTCCAGAAAACCTTAATCGCGGCACATGTAGCTAACTGTTTCCTAGATACGTCTTGAGCGGTCTAGCATTGTTGTATCAAGGGGCTAAGAGCGAAAAGGTCATGGAGTACTGGTCCGAGGCCTTGAACATGCTCGGAAAAAGTAAGCAGTGTGCCCGAATCTTTTTGTTGATTTGCTTCTAACTTCTAGTGGACATGTTAGCTCCTCCACACGCCCGACCACCCGCTCACTCCCTGCCGATGGCCATAGAGCAGGCCAGATGGCAAGCGGAGGTGAAGCGCTACGTCTACGCCCTAATTGCATTGATATCGGCCACACGTACACAGTGGAACAAGGTGCACGACTGCATCCAGAAGATCGAAGCGTTGAGCCCGAAGCCCGAGGGTGGCCGGCTTGGTCTGCTGGTGCTATACGTGACAGGAGTGTATCATCAGGGCACTGGTGATATTGACAGAGCGCTCCAGATATTCAGCGACCAGCGCTTTGCTATCCCAGCCGCCGGCACCGACGATAGCAACGCAGGGACACCACCTCCCGAGGTAGCCCTCCTTGCAGCGATGAACAAGATATGGATCATGCAAGATTCAAATCACCGAGACGACGGAGAGCTCACTGAATTCATCGAGAAAATTACACCGTACTGTTCGGACCATGCAGATGTCGACATCCGCACCGCCTTCAACCTCATGCAAGCGGCACTTCAGACAGAACCTCGCCAATCGATGCAGACGGTCAAGAAACACATCCAGGTCGGTCTGAAGTGGGCACAGGGCGCGAACAATACGCAGCTTCTTGCCGTGGCTCTGAACCTGATGCGGTCGGTGCTCTTTGAGAACGTCGTCGGTGACCAGGCTGTCAAGAGCGCCAAGGCAGGGCGACAGCAGGCCCACAAGGCGGGAAACCTGCTATGGATGAGCGTAGCCGACGGCATGCTGGCGCAGACAGAGGAGATGCAGGGGCAGGTGGACGAGGCGGAACGGCTACGCCAGGACGGGACGCGGTTTGCGAACCAGGCTTTTGCGAAGCCTGACGGGGATTGAGAACATGTGAGTCCCTCATGATTCGCGGACATGACAGCCCACGGATACGGAGCTGAGCGCTTCCCGACGACTGTGACCAAGACTTTCTGTGAAGGAGGTGCTGTAGAGGACGGCAGGACCTTGACTTGCGCATCATGGATTCAAAAAGTAATGTGGCATGATTTGAGGGGAGCATCTGGTCAGATGTGGGCGTTTACCCCGGAGCGGTTTTGGCATGTGATGACGGTGTATTGATCTTCGGGTGCTTGTTGGGCTGGGTCTGAGATATACCCCTTCTGTAGCTATGTGCTCTAGTAAAAACTTAAGTAAAGAGTCAAATACCTGTCCTCGCCTGTAGTACAGTTCTGAGTCCTTCAGTGAAGCCATGTAATCGGGGCGAAATTTGGAGCAAGCCCGGAGTCGCCCGTAGGTGGTGGAGCCACCCAACCGACAGCTAAGATCCCTGCAGCGACGGGTGGCTATCTTATCGGGGCGCGCGTACTTGGGAATTTTTCTGGGCGCATGTTCTTTTGCAAGCGTCATCCAGACCTGCCACCGCATTTGCGTGCCCAATTTCGTGAACGATGCTTCCCTTGAGACTGAGAGGCACTCGTTGCATTCGAACACGTTATGTCTGCTCCTCGTGTTGCGCTCATATCTCCCAGGGCACAAGCGCCCACGGTCGAGTGGCCGCCGTAACTCGAACCTATGCGACCGGGAAGACGACCGGGAAGAAGAAGACAGCCGCTACAACTCCTGGGAAGTCTTCAGAGGATGTGAAGCCTTCTGACGCCACGGAAAACTCAAGCCCAACACAGCCTCCGCAAGCAGACAAATCGACACCTCTCAAAGAGCAGAAAGTTAAGGCCAAAGAGGGCGAGAAACCAGCGCACCAAAGAAAGAAGAAAGCGCCGAGTCCGTCCAAGGCCAGTAAGGACGAAACTGCGCCAGCCGCCGCTCGCTCAAAGAAAACCGATGAGACAGCCAAACTGTGGCAGGAAACACTCGATATTCTGAAGAATCTCCAACAAACACAAGACGTCGATGGAGGGGCCCTGGCGAATGAAGCTGCTTCGAAGGAAGGGGCTGGCAAGAAGGACGACGCAGACACGAAACGGTCGCTAAAGTCGCATTTCCCGCCAATACAAAGCGCTCCGTCCAACAAGGCCAGAGAGAGACAGGCCAAGCTGCTCGAAGGGACTCTGGACGTCCTCAAGAGCGTGCTGACAACCCAGGCCGGCCAGGGAAGCAAAGCGAGCAAGACAGCCAAAATTACAGAGGCCCCTAGTCCCAAGGCGAAACCCGAGCGTAAGCAGACGGTGAGCAAAGGCGCCAAGGAAGAAGGCAAGAAATTGCCATCAAACAAGTCAGTGACTTCTGAGGCTGCTGTGGCTCAAGGCTTTGCTGCTTTATTACATAGCACCCAAGCGAAGAAGAAGGCCGCTCAGGAGAGAGACTCCAAAGGTGATAGCGTGGAGAAGGGCCCGCTTGCGCCCAAGAGGCCCAAGAAAGAAGGTGAACCAGGCAAGGGCGGCGACGCGGGTTGGGGGTTCAGGAAAGAAACCAGGAATGTCAAGAAGGTGAAGACCAAAAATGTAGGGCTCGAACCTGTCCACGTTGACACAGCACCAGTCCCTCGTGTGGAATACGGTCTCGACCGTGTACTGTTCAACGAAGGTGTCTATGTGTTGCAGGACCCTCGCACAAGAGTGTTCAACTTCGATCCCTACCTCGCAACCATCATGCCTGTGGACGAATTCGACTTCGAAGCCTTGAAGCAATATGTCACCTCCTCCAAAGACACGACGCTGATCGGGGTGGCTAAGAAGCACAACAAGAAGTTTACGGGATCCACGTCTAGCATGACCTCGACATTGGCACATTTCCACTACTTGCTCTCGTCGTGGAGGCCCATAAACCCTGAGCGCATCTCCAAGGGTTATACACCTGACAGTGAGAACTTCGGCGCAATCCTCAGGGCACCCGCGGCGACGTTCTTGCATTACAAAGATGGCACTTATGCCATCGATGCGGACAAGGAGTACGACACAGACACCATCCTCAGCATGCTCGGAAAGTCCATGGAGAAGCTCCTCACCGCCCCGAAGGAAGAGTACGAGAAGTACCGCCGGTCCAATTCGCACCAGCTCACGGAGGAGGAACGCAACGCGATGAGTCATATCATTACACAACGTTCGGTGATTTCATGATGCGGTCCCAGTTGGACGCATACGACCCACGGCTCCCCGGAACAGGTGTGTTCGACCTGAAGACAAGGGCCGTCGTCAGCATCCGCATGGATGCCCAAAATCACCACAAGGGTGTCGGGTACGAGATCCGACAGAGGCAGGGGCAATGGGAGTCGTTCGAGCGGGAATACTACGACATGATCCGCCTCGCATTCCTCAAGTACTCTTTGCAAGTTCGCATGGGTCGTATGGATGGTATCTTTGTTGCGTACCATAACACACAGCGTATATTCGGCTTCCAGTACATCCCTCTCGAGGAGATGGACCTGTCTCTTCATGGCACCACGGACCTGACGACGGGCAACCGGGAGTTCATGGCCAGTCTTGAGTTATGGGAGGAAATGCTGAAGAAGGCGACGGAGAGATTTCCCGGAAAGTCGCTTCGGATCCACGTGGAGACGAGGACCTCCACGGTCGTCCCATTCATGTATTTCTTTGCCGAGCCCGTCAACGACGACGAGATCAGGGCTATCCAGGAAGAAAACAAGGAGGAAGCTGAAAAGTTCCAAGAAAGAGTCCTTGGTATCAAGCCCAAGCCAGACGCAGCGGCGGAAGCGGCGAGAGAAGAGCCTGAAGAAGACGAGGAGGCTTCGGCTGGCGAGGCTGATGCAGCTGAGGATGAAGCAGCGTCCAAGGATGAAGCTGTTGAGGAGGCGAAAGAGGCTGAGGAGGACGTTCAAGAGGTCGACGAGGAGGACAGCGAGGACGTGTGGGAGGATATGATGGATGTCGTCGAGCAGACTATGGAGAGCGACGCTCAAGGAATCTCGGCGATTCGCGATGCCATCGAGGATGCCCTCGAGCAGAGTGGACTCCTGCATGCAAGGTCCTCCGAGGAGGCTGAGCAATATGTGGAGGCGCTTCTGAAGGCCATTGTCGACGTCGACGCCGAGAAGGTCAAGACAGACGATGAGGCCGAGGCTCCTGAGAGCGAGAGCGAGAGTTCTGGGGAGCAGAAGCAAGATCACGACGTGCGCCCCGCTGAGAGTACCGACACCGTCGAACAGGGCGACAGCAGCCCTCCGGCACCGAAACCGTCGCGTTTCGGCTTCCTTTCCAGCTGGTTTGGCTCCGGCGCCAAGGAGGCAGACGCACCGGCCAAGCTAGAACCGACGTCGGAAACAGGGCCAGACAAGGACATTAACACGTTGCCTGAACAAGATCTGGCGCCCAAGGATGACGCCGCAGAGCCAGCTGCCACAGAGAGCAAGGCTGCAGACGACAAACCGGATGACAGCCTGAAGGACCTCCTCATAAAGTTGACCACACGCATCGGATCTTCCATCGACGCTCAGAAGGCAACGGAAGAGCTGTCGGAGGACCAGGCCAAGCTGCGGAAGTTCGAGAGCATTCTGTTGGAGATGATGCCGAAGACGCAGGAGGCACCAGCGGACGCAGCAGCGGAAGAGGATGCGGCAGCGCCCAGCGACGCGGACAAGGGGACCGCTGAGGACACGCCTGCGCCGGGCGACGGGGGGGAGCCCGCGGCCAAGCCGGTACTGGGCCTGGTCCTCACGGTCCGCAACAAAGTCAACACCAAGTACGTGCAGCGGCCGGAGAAGCTGACCGCGTCGGACAAATGGAACGTCGAGTACACGATCGAGGAGTTGCCCGGGGACAAGGTGCAGGGCGTTTACCAGGCGCTCAAGAAGCGGCGGCACGGCGCCCACTTCAAGGACCCCGGCAGGGACCGCTTCAGGACGGCGTTCGACGGCCTCCTCACGCACTACAGCAAGGCAGGCCAGCAGTTCAGGAGCAAGGAGACGAAGCTCGCGCGGAAGCTGCCGGTGCACGTCGTCGGGCAGGTTCAGCCGGTGTCGCTGCCCAGCAGCGGGACCAGCCCCGGCGGCGACCTTCCCACTTCCGGCCGGGCCACCCGCAAGACCAAGGTGCAGAGGTTCATGCCTCCGGAGGAGGAAAAGCAGCGCCTCGAGGAGGAGAAAAAGCAGCGCCTCGAGGAGGAGAAAAAGCAGCGCCTCAAGGATGAGGCATTGAAGAGGCTGCAGGCGAAGGGGAAAACGCGGTTCAACCTGGGTGAGGGGTGGGCTCGTCCGCACCAGCCGGAGGTGATGAAGCTGCAGGCGGAGGGGAAGACGCCATTCAACCTGGGCGAGGCGTGGCTTCGTCCGCAGCAGAGGAGGAACGAGATCATTGAAGGTACGAACGAGGAAAACACGAAAGATCGAAAGAAATTCAGTGGTATGAAGAGGCTTTCTCTGGCGGGAGAGGAAACAGCGACGAAGAATGAGTCGTTGGTGGAAGAGGAGGCCACGGTGGAGGTGGTCGAGAACGGCTCGGCGTCGTTCCGGGAGTGGAGGGAGAGGGACCAGCAGAAGCAGGACAAGGACGAGGAGCAGGAGAAGGAGAAGGATTCATGATGCTGCGAGTGTGATTTGATCTGATGTTGTATTATTACCCAGTGTGTAAAATGTGTAGAGGCATAGTCCGGTAGGCGGACATGGCGCATTTACGCTTGCATAACTTGAACTTATCCACTCATACGAGGAAACTCGAATTACACCCGGTGGCGCATTGTATGATATTCAGGAAAGAAGGGATACAGAAAGTTCTTGGGGCTTGCGATCTCAGAATTTCAATCAGTACATCCATGCGGTAATTTAAAAATGCAAAGCCGAAAGGGCACTGCAGAAAGCACTTTGAAAGACAACATCGCAAATTGATTCAGGTTTGAACTGTTGTATAGCGCAAGTCGCCAAAAGGGCAGAAGGGTCTGATCCTTGTCCAGGGGGTCATTGAATCAGGAGAGACATTGGAAATGGGATCTTTTACCGCCTCTAGTTTCCAGACATGAACCCGAGCAGATTGGGAGGCAGATTTTAGAAATATTTCATAACAATTCAATTGCTTTTCATAATTGAGTTGAATTTACCCATGGCAATGCAATGCAGGAAACAGGCTCAGAGGGGCCAGTGTTCATGTCTGCGGCTGCACGTGACTTCCTCTCGCCTGCTTGATCTGGACTAGCGCGACCTGAGAGACGCACGGACTGCACACGACACTGTGCGCCCAACTCACTGCAAACTCGCAAACCCACCAAAACCAAAAATTCTCGAATTTGGTAGCTTTTCGGCCCTCCCAGTCGACGACCTCTTTCCCTCAACCAAACCGCCGACACAACCAACCAGCCATCGACACTCCGAGGTCAGTCCGCGACCACCCCACGACGGAAATCCTCGATCGAGGGTCTCTGCATCAATTGGAAGCAAAAACGAACCCCGAAATACTGACTTTCCGCGATTGAAGCAGGCCGATTCTTGGGCAAAATGGCATCCCGACCTACCGTCACGATCCTGGGTGCCGATGGCAAGGCCACTCAGGCCACCCACACCTTTCCTACCGTCTTCACCGCCCCCATCCGTCCTGATATCGTCCAGGAGGTGCACAAGGGAATCGCCAAGAACAAGCGCCAGCCCTATGCCGTGAGCGAGAAGGCCGGTCACCAGACCTCTGCCGAGTCCTGGGGAACTGGTTAGTACTTTCGAGATTCTGAACACCATTGGAGGCGATGGAAGACGAGGGGCCGAAGGGGGGAAAACTGGGAAAATCTACGACGAGATCAGGAGGACAGCATTTGGTCAAGAATTTGGGATCTCGACGGCGACAACAGACGGCTGCTGATTGGAAGGGGATTGGAACATGAAAATTCACACACGGCTGGGAACGCCACTTCTGGATGGACTGAAGCTGACAACGAGATATCCAGGTCGCGCTGTCGCCCGTATCCCCCGTGTCTCTGGTGGTGGTACGCACCGTGCTGGTCAGGCTGCTTTCGGTAACATGTGCCGTTCCGGTCGCATGTTCGCGCCTACCAAGACCTGGCGCAAGTGGCACGTCAAGATCAACCAGAACCAGAAGTGAGTCGATGGAGCTTTCCACCCGGTTATCGACGCAGATCCTAACAAAACCCAGGCGATTCGCTACCGCCTCTGCTCTGGCTGCTTCTGCCGTTCCCTCCCTGCTGTTCGCCCGTGGTCACCAGATCTCGGCCGTCCCTGAGGTTCCTCTCGTCGTCGACTCCGCCGCCTTCGAGGGCGCTGCCGCCGCCAAGACCTCCGGCGCTCTCGGTCTGCTGAAGGCCGTCGGTGCCGGCCCCGACCTGGAGAAGGTCAAGGGCTCCAAGAAGCTCCGCGCCGGTAAGGGCAAGCTCCGTGGTCGCCGCCACCGCCAGCGCCGCGGACCTCTCGTCATCTACGACCCCGAGGTCGACGGCAAGGAGCTTGTCAAGGGTTTCCGCAACATCCCCGGCGTTGAGACCTCCTCCGTCTACTCCCTGAACCTGCTGCAGCTGGCCCCTGGTGGTCACCTCGGCCGATTCGTCATCTGGTCGTCCGCCGCCTTCAAGGCCCTCGACAAGGTCTACGGCACCACCACTGAGCCCTCGGCCCTGAAGAAGGACTTCCTCCTGCCTTCCAACGTCGTCGCCCAGGCCGACCTCACCCGTCTGATCAACTCCTCCGAAATCCAGAGCGTCCTGCGTGCCCCCAAGGGCGAGTCCCGGACGAAGCGCGGCAACGTGCAGAAGAAGAACCCTCTCAAGAACAAGCAGGTCCTGCTGCGCCTCAACCCTTACGCGTCTGCCTTCCAGAAGGAGAAGCTCGGCGAGAAGAAGGTCGAGGGTGGCAAGCCCAAGCCTGTGTCTGAGGCCTTCAAGCTCACCCTGGCCGACTAAGCAAGGGGAGGGTTTCTTTGGTTTCTGGGAATGGGGAATTGAAACGGACTGCATGATAAATTGATGGTTTCGGCGTTGGTCAGGAATGTGTGAGCCACGGTAGCACATTTGCCAAATCGAAAAAGAACATGGAATTCTTTAATGACTCTTCACAAAATGACGCCTATCCGATACTGTGATTATATCTGTCCTCTGGCTGAACTTTCTGTGACGGCGGGGAGGGCCTGTGTTGGCAGGGGCTGTCAGGTCATGCGTGCTGTGGAAGTCCCTATGAAGAAATTGAATTCAATCACATCTATGTATATTGGTGATTTTCATCGGTAAAAGCAGTGTGTTGTGGGTAATCGTAATATGCCTCGGCGATGCTCTGGCGCAAATTCGAGAGACTGTCGCGGATCGGGAAATCCGACTGGCGACCATGGAGCAAAAATTGGCTGGCGAAGGAACACGTTCCCCTGGTGCCCAGCTCTAAGGTGGCGATGAGGCGCTCCGACCTAGCGTGGTAGGATGGTTTCCTCTGTGCGATTAGGACTCAAGCTTCCGCAGCTCAGGATCTCACAGAGACTGTGAGTGTGGACAGTAGAAGTTGTCGACTGTGAGTGACAAGAGAGCATAGTCGGCAGCATGACCCGTAGACGCCCAGCCTGAGCGGCCAGAGGGAGTGCAGACGCTCTCGAGAGGACCAAGTCTGGGCGGGGAGAAGATTGCAAATTGACATCACATTCTGGCAACGGCAACATGCAGAAGCTAAATGGCTTTCATTCTGCGCCTGACCACCTCGCCGTACTCGGAAAGATCGTCATAAAATCGTGAAATATTGACAGCAGCTTTATATCCCCAACAGTACATGGAAACGCTGGACCAAAACACAATCCCACCCTCGGACCGCCCTAACACCCAAGGTATGGCCCCAAATTCCCAAATTCCTCCTCGTCCTCGCCATCGGCATCGTGTGCGGCCACGGGCGACTCCTTGATGAGATCCTCCAGCTCCTTGACCTTCTTGATTTGCCAGTACTTCCTCACGCCCTTGACGAACCGCTCCGAGCACAGGTCGACGTTCTCCTCCGTCTCGGCGGCGAAGCACAGCCGGAAGTGCTGCCAGCCGACATTCCTTCGGATCTCCTCGGTGGCCGAGAACATCATGCCTGGGCTGACGATGACCTTGTACGGCTTCTTGGTCAGGTGGATGAGCAGGCCCGTGGCCAGCGCGGTGCCGTCGACGATGTCCTTGCCGTCGGAGCTGGCGGCCCCGAACAGCGGGTGCTGCTCGAAGTAGACGCGGATCCAGACGAACATGCCGCCGCGCGGCCAGGCAAAGTCGTACAGCTGCGTCTTGGTGAGGACGCAGACGTCCGCGTCGGCAGCGGACCGCGGCGTGCCCTGTTTCACGTACGCGGAGCCCTCGTCCAGGATCCGGCACATGCGGTTCATGCGGCGCTCGTACTCGCCCCGCAGGCCCTCGATCCACCGCACCCAGCCGTCCGTGTTCCAGCCGCTGAAGGTGGCGCGCTCGGAGGGCTTGCGCAGGGAGAGCCACGAGCGCTCGACCTCGGGCGGCTGCGTGCCGATTATGAGCTCCGCGATCATGCTCTGCACGAACCCCGAGGGCTGCTGCGTCGAGGACTCGGTCACGCGCACGAAGCGCTCGATCAGGTCCGGCTGCGCGGTCACGAAGCCCAGCCGGCAGCCCGGCGCGACCGTCTTGGAGAAGGTGTCGAGGCGGATGACGCGGCCGTCCGTGTCGACTGCGAGGAAGGAGGGGACGAGGGAGTCGAGGAAGGGGTAGCCTGTGGACTTCTCGGGCTTGTAGGGGGTGGAGAGGGCGTCGGCGACGGGTGGCTTGTTGCGGGACTTGCCCTCCTCGACGGCGGCGGAGGGGAACTGGAGGTACCAGTAGGGGTCGTCCTCGATGATGAGGACGTCGAACTTGGAGGCGATGGCGTAGAGCTCCTTGCGGCGCTCGAGGGAGAGGAGGATACCGGTGGGGTTGTGGCCCATTCTGGTTTGAAGTTAGCCATTATCTCACCACTGTAGGAGCTGGAGGCGGTGGTACTCACGTCACGGTGTACAGCAGATGCGGCCTGCGGCCCTTGGCGTAGTCCCAGTTTGTGAGCACATCATCCAGACTCCCCGGTCCCGTGGCCACCATACCGCCCTCGTCGGCCTTGACAGGCACGATCTGGACGCCCTTGGGCTGCGACTGGCTCAGCACGTTCCCGTAGACGAAGGTCTCGCACAGCAGGCCGGGCCTGTCGCGGACGTCGCCCGTCTCGGGGCTCCAGGGGTCGACGAACAGCTCCAGCGTCTTGGACATGCCGTCCGTGGAGCCGACGGTCAGGACGACGTCGACGCCGCCCTCGTAGGGGACGTTGGGGTGCAGGTGTTCGCGGGCGAACTGCCGCAGGAACGAGTACAGGGGCGGGTACCCCTGGGCCTGGCCGTACTGCAGCGCCGTCGCGAGGTCGATCTTCTTGCGCGGGTCCGTGTCGGGGGACAGCGCCTTGGGGACGGTGATGTGCGACGCCGCCGCCGGGTCGGATCCGCCGGAACTGCCGTTAATCTTCAGCGAGGCGGTGGACTCGGTGAGGTCGGCGGCGGCGGCGTTGGGCTTGTTGGGCGAGGGCGTCCATCGCTCTGGCTTGGCGGTTTGTGCCTCGAGGGTGTCGTAGGGGAAGAATCGCAGGTTCGGGAGGCCTGGGTGCTGCTGATCAGCACTGAATTTGGAAGTTGGGAACCAGTTCAAGAGCTATGAAGGAATGCAAGATTCAGAGGGCTTATCGTGCAATTGCGTCGACGATAGAGTTTCGGAGCACTCAACCTTATGTCTCCTCTATGGGTGATTCGTAAGAGAGGCTAATTGCTTACCACCGGCCAGGTTTCCAACGCCGGGGATCTGGAAGAACTTGTAGTAAGCCTTCATAGCACTGGGCGTGCGATGCGCCGTGGTGACGGAGTAGTAGTGGCTAAAGTCCTTGGGCTTTGGCTTGCTAGCCATCGCAGCCGGGCCGGCGGCTGCCGTGGAGCTCGACTCCATCGCGACGGTTTGAGGCTTGGGGGTTGGGTGGGCGCGAGCTATCTCGGTCCGCCGTTGGGGTTCACGCAGCTAGGTCACGTCCGTCGACAGATTATATTCAGGGGACTTCCGGGTGGTACGTTGGCCTAGGCGTGCAGGAATCGGCCACTGTTGCAGAGGGAGAGAGAGACATGTCTGCGTCTGTAAGCGAGCGGATCAATGACAGCAGTATTCTTGTAGATTACAAATTCACCTGAAGCTTCCTTCCGGCAGCTAACGCAAAAGCACACCATTACTGATAAGGAAGCTCCAGGTCGCCTTGTCCCACGCTGCTTATCGAGGGATTGCGGGGAGAACATCCCGTCTTACCTGGGACCGACAGCCGTCCGATATCAATCGTGCCTCCGACGAGCCGCACTCGTGGTTAAAGTTGTCAGTTACTATTGATGTTTATTCTATCCTTCTATTCTTCATACTTGGCATGACTACACGGTCTCGATTGCTGCAATGGGCCTATGGGGGAACCGAAGGCGAATGAAGTTGGAAGCGAAGCCATTCGAAAGCCTTGGGTGTGGAGGAACTAATTATGCCCACTAACACGTACCTAGGTAGGCCGAGACCACACCGCGGGAGCACTTCAGTATATGAAGTAGTCATTCCCTTCCCAACTGATATGATACCATTTGAACGAACGTATCAACTCTGCAGCATTCCTTGTCGACTTCAATTCATTGACCGTGTCTCGAAATGTTCGACGCGTCAATCGCAGCATTCGAGTCCACGGACTTCCAGACATTCCTTCAGTGGCAAAAGGGCATGCGGATCCATCCCAAGCACACAACCACCACTCCTCATCCCGTCACATTCCCCCCTTCTGACGAACACCACCGCGGCAACAACACAGCTCTCCATGACTTAGGGCTATGTCTAGACGCCGGCCGACGCCCTTATTGGACACCTTGACTGCCATTGGCTGAGCTGGATTTCGATTTCTTCTTGGACGATCAGTCTCACGTGCACGGTCGACCGACATCTGGAAATGCGCTGGGCAGGTCAAGCTGAAAGCGGCCAGCGATCATCCTCAGCTCCATCACCAAAATTTCGGATTTCTCCACCTCGCTGCTTCGTCATATTTGCAGGCTTCACGGTCAGTTGCTCAAAGAATTATTCACTGTGTGCGACAAGATCGGAGCGATCTGCAAGCTTGGAACCGGAGGCACCTCATAGGCGTGTCGGCCACTCCACGGCAATGCAACCGAGATACCCAGCTTCGGCCACAGCGTATTGCACCGACAGCTCCCAGGACTGAGGGTTTACTTCCCGTGTCAAGTTTCTTTTTCTTTACCGTCTCAGTTCTTCACCAGTCTTTTATCCTCTACACTTAGTACACAAAGCCAAGGTCTTTGAAGTAATTCGCGCCAGATCGAATAAGACATACCGGTAACTGCTGGAAAGACACTCCACAGCGCTTATGTGATACCTTAATCAAACAGCTAGTACGGAAATTTGAGATCCTTCCAAACTGCTTTTTGTGCCTGGGATGCCGGGGTGCCGAGCACGCAGTGGCAAGCAACTGTAAGGCTGCGTCTCCGTGTAACAATACGTGCCTGACGCAGCTGAGATGACGTTCAAAATGAGCCTTGGAGGCTCCAACGACGTTCCGCAGCGCTACGCCAGTGTAGGCAGGAATCGGTCCGCCCGAACGTGGCCCGTAAGCACTAGAGCCAACGGCGAACAGGGGTGAGGAGGCTATCAAACATTACCGGCACCTCACATTTATTTCCTGACCGCATCGAGGACCACGTAATTAGTTTGCTTCCTCTTGAATTCTATCTTTACACATCCATTTTGAGACTTTGTATCGACAACACTTGAAACGAACCTTCGGCTAGAGAGTCCGACTGTCTGGACCATGCGAGGAAAAGCCAAAGTGAGGAGGGTGTCCCCGCCATGTCCGGGAGAGAGCCAGGATCTCAGTGGCATTCAGGTCTCTCGGGGGGCTAAATGCCAAAAGTCCAGATGGGCTACGAACGCAGATTGGTGTCATCACAAAGCCACAATCAAGCGACTATATCTCACAGAAAACAAACCTCTATGGGACGTCAAGGAAATAATGCGCACCAAATACGCTTTCAATGCAACGTAGGCTAACCTCCTATCTGTTCACATGTGTCTCATTTCTTGATACTGTTTACTCATTGCATGTCTAGTCAATCAATGTACAAGAAACGCTTGAGATCCTGGGGATGTTCAAAATACATCCGGACGAATGCGCGTCCCGAGCATCATTTGATTTCCTGGTCGGCATCAGGCCTGATCATCGAGTCACCAGACGTTTTTCGGACTCCAGAAACGATACTGCTCGGCATTCAGGACTATATCACGGAGAGAAACGAAAATGAAAATCCTCGGGAAGTTGTTCAATGTCAGGGAACATCACCTGCGCAAGCACATAAGCACACGGAGCACAATATTTGCCGCGAGACGCTCGACGCAATCTTCTCGGGCGCCAAAACGGCGCTGGACATCGAGACGTTCTCCAGGTCGGCAGCAGATTTCATCAACTCGGTGGAAGGCTGTCGCGAGCTACTAGCCGAGCACCAGGTGGAGGAGGCGTTCGTCGAGCTGCGACGCCTGCCGGCCAAGATACAAGTGTTGCTCCGAGACGAGCCTCACCACGCGCTGCACGGGCTCTTTTTCACGATAATCAAGATGAAGTGGGATGGGGAGGACTCCGAGCCTGAAAACGGTATCCTCAAGGCACTTCTGGCGTACATTGCTGCGTTCGCAGCGGATTCCTCGCTCGCCTGGCCGGAAATGTACCCGCTGCGCCGGATCCTCGAGGGATTTTCGCGGATGGAAAACCAGACCGACTTGGCGGAAGTGACCATCAAATGTTGGAGCTATTTTTTGAGCATGACAAAACCACCTGGGGACGAGACAGCCGGCGGTTCTTGCGTGATTTCATCCTTCAGCCTCCCACGCAGCTTCAAGAACACCGCAGGGCGACATGGGGAAACAAGCCAGTCGTCCCAGCCTCTCGTGCCTGCGTATGAGCGCCTGGGAATTGATAAACGGAGGACATAGTAAGATCTCTTTATGTTATCACATCTTTCAAGAGTCATCGCAACGAGCTCCTCGCGAGGCAAATGTCTCAGGATGTAAACCCCACAGTGCTAACCATGTGCGAGCAGTTTACAACGTCTCCAAAGGGAAAAGGAGGGATTCAAACGCAAAAATACGTCGTCCCAGGCAAAAGCCGCGTTCAAGAGCCAAAGGTACATGGCGTGTGCCTACGAGGCGACGGGGCTGAAGCCCTGTCTGAAGCTCTACCTGGACGAGCTCGTAAAGGAAGCCGTGTGTAGAGCCCAAAGGAAAAAGGACTTGCGCTCGGTGGTACTTCGGATGACTCGCCTTGATCATATGCTTTCGGGGTGGGGTGACGAGGAGAATTCGCAATACGCACGGCGAAACATTGTTATGTTCGGTGGCGCCGAGTATCATGAATGATGCATAGGAAAAATGAAGATAGAGTGAAGACACAACTCGTTCCCAGATTCTCCACCATCAGGGAGAAGTCGAAAACTTGAAATCAAAAGACGGAACTGAATTTAATCCGTCAGTGTGCTAGACTCCTGACTTTTGCATTTGTTGTCAATAAGCATTTTGGATGAAACTAAAGCCGCGGAACTATGGATATTATATCGAGAACGGATTCCTTTGTATAATTACTGATTGAAACTTGGTGGCCTGAGTTGGAATTCGCTATTTGCAAAGAACTAGTCACTTGCCTTCTGATCACGTAACTTTTGTCACTTCTGACTGACATGTGCATGGAGTTCATGAACCAGTGACAACCGGAATTTCTCCCGGTAACCAGTTTCAATTCTTCACTGGTGTCAGTTTCTCATGCGGGCCCTAGATATGAATCTGAGTTACAGGCGCCGCGTCTGGCTGACATATCGAAGGGCCGAAAGGTAGACTTGATGAAGAGATAATTGTAACCCTAGCTAGATAAGTCCCAATCTATGTTCAGAGGGTATGGGTGCATCCATTTTCCCTCGTTAATTAAGTGGTTATTCGCCCAGAGTCTCATTATCCAAGTATACATATAGCCATTTAATAAAGAAGAACCTAGACACTCACCAGTTCAAGCCCAGATCAGAGTAAAAGGACTTCATAGTGAGGGGAAGAGTCAGAGAAAGGGGAGCCAGACTGAACCTGAGGGGGAGCGAGACCTTAAAAGAAGGTCGTTTCAGAGCTAAGTTGTGTCTAGCTCATCTTTGAGGATCTGAGGGGGAGAGTTGTCATCCTGGCTAGACATGTCCTGATTCACGCTCGGAGGGTGTGGGTGCATCCATTTTCCCTCTGTAGCTAAGTGAGACGAGAGGTTTCGAATCTGATCATAATAAGCCAGGATATAGCTCATTAATATACTGAAATCCTGTTAGCAGCTAAGCATGGGCGAGGGTCAACTTGGGGTGGCAGGAATAGAGGCTTTGACAATTTCTACTCTAAACTATGTAAGTTTCAAAGGAACTACAAATTCTTTTCCACCACTTGTGGAATATATCTCATACACACGGTAATCGAATTTGTCATTACATTTCTGTAAGAATGGTACTTGTACAACAGAAACTCTCTTTGCCAAATTTATCGTCGCCACACCAAGATTAATACCCGTCTTTCAGGTATGCAACATGTAACATATCCGATGCAGCTCGAAGACATACCATAATCCTACAAACAGGGGCAATTACATATTTCCCAAGAGAACGGATATTCGCACCCGCAAAAACGGATGGTACACCTGTACACCACTCGCGCCAGAGCTGTAGCCGTCAGAGCACCTCACCCAGACCTATTCACTCACACACCCAACACTCATACACCTAACACCCACACACCCACAAACTTAATACCCATACACCCAATTCATACCCCTAGCTTATATACCTACTAGGTAGTCTCCTCCCAGATTCCGAAACGCACATGGTATTTAGGCTAATCAGCAACCCGCCTTTGATTTAAAAACACTTCGCCCCAAGGTCTATCCCTTCTATCACTTTCAGCTGCCATTCTATTCCCACTGCTTTACAATATCGGCTCCTGCTTCCTCAACACTGATACTATGCGGCGAGACTCTGTTACTCCTGCCAGAAAAATGGACGCTCGCCTCGGGCGGGTCTGATGCCGGGTTTCGAGCACCCAATTAACATCACTTATGCCAGGGGCTATGCCAAGCTCTAGAAACACCACACCAATCAGCCTTACGAAGCAGGTTGGGGAAACCTTGGAAATAACCTTAACATGACGTCGCATAATCAGCATCCCAGACCACCGACATCATGAATGCTATTCCAACCAACAGGAATACTTCAGTAAGAGCTATCCGGACTCAACAATCGAACCTTTACCATCTAACCATCTACCATCCTTACTGATAGCAACCGCGTGCCTGAGGGAGATATAGCAAGGTGACCAACGTCCTGCCGCTGCTTCTCTACAAAAGCAAGGCATAATTCGGTTCGATAGCTGGTGCCCCTTTTCAATCCAACTCGGTTTCCCCGCCCTTTTCATCACAGGGAGCCAGGCAAGGTTTCAGATTCGGCGAAATAACATGATCTTCCCTTCCTTCTTCGTCGCGCTGCTTATCGCGGCCCTCGCCGCCGCCCAAGACAGCAACACAACTACGTACAACGTGACCATCTCCTGGTACGGGACCAACGACCCCAAGGGCTCGCCCAACTGCAACAGTAACACGGTAGCGTGCGGGTTCTACACCTATGTACGTCACATGGGAATGAGACAGACAAAATCCCACTCCCAACTCGCACTAACAAGATCATTCTTGGGACCCAGCCCGGCTACGCGGCAGCCGTGTCGCAGAACCTCTTCGGCGCCGGCCCCGGCGAGGGCAAGGGCCCCGCGTGCGGGACATGCTACCGCCTCACCGTCGAGACAGACGCGCAGGGCGGCAGCGCCGTGCCCAACGCGGGGTCCAGCATCGTGGTGAAGGTGAACAACCTGTGCCCCGCGGACGGGGATGACCCGATCTGCGCGCAGCCCGACCTGCAGACGCCCAACCAGTACGGCGGGGTGGTGGACTTCAACCTGTGCAACGACGACGGGGCGCACGCGGCGCTGCTGGCGCCCGCCGGCACGGGGCTGGCGGGGGGCACGGCGGTGATGGTGGGCTGTGGGGAGTGGAACGGGACGGAGAAGACGGACTGTGGGAGCTTGTGCGGGCAGAGTGGGAAGGACGGGCAGGGTTTGGGGGGTGGTGTGAGAGAGGAGGTTGGTTGGTGGGGGCTATTGCTTCCGCTGGGGGTGATGTTAGGTATATGAATTTTCACCAAATGCCCCCAGAGGGTCTGGAGCCACAACCTCGTAACTCTGGCTTGCTTTGACGATTCGAAAGAAAAATAAATATTAAATGTATAAATGTTAAAAATATCAATATTAAGTATATAAGTGTTAAGTATATGGGTATTAAATATATAAGTGTTGGGTGTATGGATATATGGGTGTATGGGTATTAGGTGTATGGGTGTTGGGTGTATGGGTGTTGGGTGTATGGGTGTTGGGTGTGTTGGTGTTGGATGTGTGGGTGTATAGGTATGTAGGTATATGGGTGTGTGGGTGTAGATATGTTAGGTATAGGTGTTAAGTATGGGTGTTAGGGTTTTTGCAGGTGCGAAACTCGGTATTTAAAAATAAAAGTCCCCCCTCGCGGGATCGAACAGCGGACCTGCAGATAACAAAGCGGACGCTTACAGTCCTCCTTCGGACTCCTCCGAAGCCTCATTGCCCTCTGAGCAGCTCAGCTGGTTTGTTGCGTACAGTCGGAGTTGAGAAGGGGAAAGGGGCGTGTGCGTGGAGAGGGTTGAAAACAAAAATGGAGAGGAAGAAACCAAAAAGTCTCCGGAGCGTGACTTGAACACGCGACCTGTGGATGGCTATTACAACAATTACAGTCCATCGCTCTTCCAGCTGAGCTATCCAGAGGTGATTAAAACAGTGTGTAATAAATAAACTATATTGGTGGAACTTTGGTGGCGAAAATGTGGGCGGATTGTGATCCGAGATGCCGGAGGCCGGAGCGGAGCTGCGCCGACCACCTGACTGATGAGGGGAACTGGCAAAGTGGGGCCTTCAGCTCAGGAGAGATATTTGGCAGCTGCTGTGGTAATGATTGCTTGTGACTTAGAATTTGCTTACATGAATTCAAAATTTTGGGAGTGAGATACCCATTCATTTGGTGTGTTTATATTCGGGGTGGTGTTTCGCAAAGGAAAAATGGGTCCTCGAAAACCTTCTCCCGGAGAGAGATGTACCACACCGATTCTGCACGCTTAGACCGCCTCGCTTGTCTCAACAACCCCAGGCTTTGTCAGGCATTGGCATCACAGATACGGACACGGTGCCGAATAAGTACCAGACCAACGGTTGTCCGTACTGTCACTCACTCGCTTTTGTGTGGTGATGGGATGTCATGGGATTCAAGCCTCCTTAACCTATCACCCGCAATGGCCAGGACAATGAGTAGACCCGGCTTCGGTGCAGAAGGATATAAATTTCAGAATTGAGACCGAGTCTGATTCGCCATTGGCCTGAAGTTTAGGACTTTTCCATGATGAGGAATTGAAACGGCAGGGATGTCGGTCAGAAGCCAGTACCGTTGGGAAAGCATATGGTGCGCTATTCTGAAAATGCAATCTAACTGAGCATCTACTCACTACCCCTAGATCTGTAGCTCTCTATACAATATCCTGCATGTTGACGTCACTTTCAGGTTCATACGGGAATCCGAGTTCCTTGAGAGACTTCGCCTTCCGCCCTGTGGTCTCGAACTTGAGCTTTGCCCTCGACATAAATCCCGCGCTCCCACTTCTGCTCTGCGTTCCACACTGGCGGCTCCTTGCCCTGGCTGCTGCTGGATTGCTTGACCCAGTCGCGAAACTCATCAAGAAGGTCGGCATCGCCAAGCTTGGGGAAGACGTGGAAAGACTTGCCGTGCCTCTTGGCTTCTTCCTCCTCCCACTGCGACATCTCTTTCACCGAGGGCAATGCCAAGGAGTTCGACCAGACCCTGGCGAATGCAGCAGCATGTGCTTCAGAGACCGGGAAGGGGACGACCCTGATGGGTAGCCCAGGGAAGACCAGAGTGGGATGGTCAATGTTGAACAAGTGTTTGTACAGCCCGTACACCCTCGTCCCGTTCGATACCAGCCCCGGTATCAGGCTTTCCAAGAAGGGGAAGCTAAACAGATACCCCTGTGCAGTATAAGATGGCGTCCAGGTCCTTCTCCACCCTGCCATCGGTGAACCTGACACCCTTCTCCTCTACGAGGAACTCCTCTATCGCGGGCACCTCCTCGGCCCGGACGTGCTCCAAGTTCTCATCGGGAGTAGGCTCGTGCACGGATAATAGCAGGGGGCTCTTGCTGTGCCGGCTGATCTGGGAGGCGATATCGAGGCCCGAAGACGCGTTGCCCACGACCAGCACCTTCTTCCCGGCGTAGTCCTCGGGCACGCGATACGTCTTCGCGTGAGAGATCACGCCGGGATGTGCGGCGTCGAATTCCTTGATGTTCTTGACGTCTGGGATGAATGGCGTTGCGTAGTGCCCGTTGGCTACCACGACAGCGTCAAAGGTATCCTTCGATTTCTGGCCATCGAGAAGGTTCACGGTGTCGACATCCCAGCGGTCATGGCTCCCTTCCCGTCGAAGCGAGACGTTCTTGACCTGGGTTGAAAAGCGGATAAGGTGGCGGATATCTTGGGAATATTGCACGAGGTACTCCTGAACGACCTGACGGGACGGAAAGATCAGTCCGTCGTGAGGAAAGTCCTGATCTCCGTATTTCACTTCACGTGGGTCAGTACATTTTCGAGCAGCTGTCTCAAGACTTGGTCCCTGTTGGGGAGACTATGTCTTCCGTCACATCCGGCCACCTGATCAATACCTCAAGAGACGCAAGGAAAGCAAGGACGTAGTGGGAGATTCCATACTGATGGTCCAAGGGATGTTGGTATTGAGGAGCTCATACATCGGCGAAGCGAACACCGGCGCATCGCTATCTGGGCCTTTGACGGGAGCGTCCGGAGGGCAGAAAGGGCTCACTTGAGGAACATGTTGGCTGGACGTAGGCTCTCGACTGTAATACCACACGCCTCCCACTTCAGGGTTCTGTTCGAAGACGACTACTGAGTCAAAAGCCTGCTGTGCGATAAGATACTTTGCTGCCGAGAGACCACATGGGCCAGCGCCGATGATGGCGATTTTTTTGACGTCGAACGTCCCGGAATCAACAGAACCCATGGTGGAGTATGGCCTGGTCGAGCAGTAGGTAGACCTCAGGAGGCAGCGTTGTATGAACAGGAGGGGTAGGTGTTCTATCACTGCGCGCCTGATACAGCTTGATAAGTGCGAGGAATGGGTGCGCAGGCAAGAAGAAACGCTTGTCGCTGGTCGGGAGAAAGCCAGATTTGTTCCGCAGCAAGAATGCAGATAAGTCGAGAGACCGCGAGTACGGAGCCGGAGGAGATATATAAACAAGTCGAAAGAGGAGTTATGAAAAAGTCAAAAGCGAAACGAAGGGTTTGGTAATTCTTCTAGGTGACCACATCGGATGCGTGGCGTGACGATTTGGTTGACGTGCTCTCCGTATCGGCCTGTCACGACTCAGCCGGGCCGGAGGTGTGGATCCAGTTCTTTTCGGCAGCACTTACCGGACTCCACCCTACCGCCTTCTCCTTTGAGCCGAGTTCAGGTGTGTTTTCTCGGTGTCCAAGTACCCACGTACCCAAGTACCAAAGTACCTGCCCGACAAGCTCCCTACTCTGCTCCTGGTCACGAACCGAGACATCCATCTCAAGTTGCTCTGTTTTCGACCTCCAATGACGGAACCGGCACGACGATTCATTTAAAAGCGCGACGTTTATCAGATGGCCGATGCATCTCGGTCTCCTCCACCTTCCTGAGCGATGATCTAGCCGTCGATCCTTTCCATCGCAGTACGACATCGCGTCCGCTACGATGGCAACTGCAGATGGAGACGTCGAGCATTTGCTCGCGACGAAGACAGCGACGCCAATCGCACAGTTGGCCCCCGAACTGCCCGATCAGGCGACTCGAAAAGTACACGGAGAAGTCACGATCACCTGGCCGTTCAGCTCTGTCAGCAAGAGCGTTGCCTTCCTACTCGCCGAGCCAGACTTCCGACTGCGACGCGACAAAGGCCAGGTGCGCATACAGCTCAATGGCCCTAGCGCCGAGGTCGTCGGGGGCTTGGAGCTCGGGAGCGGCGATGAGGTCACCTTGGATCTGGACGGCGTGGAGTGGGCCAGGGACGAGGAACCTGCGCGACCACCGGGCTCTCGGTCGGATTGGCAGCTGAAGTTCGTGGGAAAGCTCACGCTCAAGGTGGGACGCTTTGGCTCTGATTAGGAACTACTCTTCTCACGATGCATCGCAGGTCACACTTGGCGAGTCTCAAGAAACCAAGTTCATCAATATCGACCAACCTGTTCCCACCGAGTCAGAAGAGGCGTTCGAGCCCATCCCATTCGCCGAGATCGACACGACCATCTTCGACGACGAACCCCCGATGCAGAATAACGCTAAACCTGTTGTCAACGAGTACGCATCGCCGATATTCATGAAGAGGTCGAGGGCTTCATACGCGCCCCTGTTTGAATTTGACCTCGACGAAGAACTGGAGGCGGATGGAGGCAGAAGAGGCAAGGGCCGCAAGCGGCCTAGGTACTCTGTGCAGAATGGCAGGTGGAGATACCGAGAAGAAAGCAGCAGTCCTGAGCCCGAGATACTACAAAACTCATCCTCGCCTGCCTCGGCACAAGATGGTGATATCGTGATGCAGGACACACCGTCGAAGCCTCAGATGGCAGACGGGGCGTGCCAAACTTCCGAGCTGGAACTTCCACCACCACCCCAGAGTGTAGCAAATACGCCGTCCAAGGCTCTCAGCAGGACAGGATCTTCATCCTCGCCCTTAAGTGGCAGGTCTCCAGGGACATACATGGGCGCCACCACGAACGCTGGTGTCCAAGCGTCGATGTCGAGCCTTGAAGGTGCAGCCCCAACCCAACAACAGCCCGCCGCCACGGCGGTACGGACCACGACCAACCCATTCGTTCCAGTACCGGGCACCTCCGGATTCCCTGAATCCAATTTAAGCTTTCAAGCAGGTTTCGGAATGTCTCAAACCGTGCCTCCTGCGCAAAGTAACGAGCAGACACAGCGGCCACTCACCTTCGGGGAAACCACAGCGCCAAACCAGTCTGGGTTCAGCCAGCCTACTCATTCTCAAGCTGCTTTTGGCCAGCCTGGGTTTGGTCAAACTGTTTTTGGTCAAGCGACCCATTTTCCTGGGTTTGGCCAACCTTCGGATGTAGGTGCCGGGTTTGGCGCCGTGGGAGGGCCCTCGGTGGAGTCGGTGAGGTTTGGGTTCGGTGAGCAACCGCAATCTACATTTAGTGGTATGCCATACGCATCGTCACAGACGCCGTTCAGTCATAGTGAGGCTCACTATCAATCAGAGGCATACCCTGATCCCCAGCAACCATCGGCTGCCGCATCTCCATCCTCGCATCATTCCGGCGAGCATGCCTTGCAGCATTCTCAATCCCAACATGCCTTTGATGAGACTCACACCCACGCGCCTGAGTCCCATATGAGCAGCAACGAGGCGTCGCTATGGCCTCAACCATCGGGCACATGGCACGCTGACAGCCATGCTAATGTCCCTGGGGGATTACACTCCGATAGTAGTGTGCCAGTAGGGACACCTCAGGGTATGATTCCTCCGGGAGTAGAAGACGGAACGAGGAACCAGGATGAGATGAGGGAGCAAGGTATCCTATCCCAGCCAGTCTTCGAACAAGGTGTTCCGCGGGCAGCTCTCCCGCATGGCCGGGAATCCTCGGCGGACGGAGACGACGATTCGATGGACAGCGATGAGCAGGCAGACTACGATGAGGACGAGAAAGGCGACGACTACGATATGAGAAACTACGATCGTATTTCGGACGACGAGGAGGGCTTCGATGCCGAAAGGGGAGGACCTCTACCTGACGAGGACCTGCTAGAAGAGGACGAAGATTTCGATGAGGACGAAGAGGATTATGATGACGAGGAGGAGGATTACGAGGAAGGCGACTACGCAGGAGGGATTGTCTATCGACAGCCGATAGTGCAAACTGCGCCGCCCCCTCAGGTCCAGAAGGAACCCATTATCATCGACTTGCTCTCGGATTCAGACGACGACGAAGAAGAAGCACCCCCGCCGCCCCAAAGCCAACTTGGACTCCAACAAATGGACGGGATCGCTAAGTCCGAGCCCGAGAGACATCTAATAGCGGGTACGCTAGTCTCGAACGTTCAGCCTGGCCAAAGATCCGTCAAGGTTCAGCAAGAGTCCGACGGGTCCGACGAGTCCGACGAGTCCGCAGAAGACGAGGAAGAAGAAGACGGAGAGGGAGAACCGCTTTCTGATGACGAGCCGCTTGTTGACGAGAATGGAAGCAGCGAATCTGAGAGTGATAAGGCAAGCGGAAACGACGGCGATATGGACGTGGATGAGCCAACAAATGCTGGAGCAAGTAATGACGTGGAACCGAGCAGCGACATCGAGGTCCCATATCGCCTAATCGCCAGCGTACCGGAGGTGGAAGAGGCGGATTCGAGTCCTGGCCAGTCGCGAAGTCAAAGCGAAGTCGACGAAGGCTCCAACGTCGAAGAGACTACTGCAAAAGTGGACTCCATGGCTGAAAAGACACAACAAGCACAGGCAGAGACCGGGCAAGCACTCGGTGATGAAGATGATGCGATGAGCGAGGATGGACACGAGGCAGACAATAGGGCTGGATCCTCTCAGCCAGAGCCTATCGACTTGCCTGCGACGTTTCAGACACAATCGAGGGATGTAGCTGCATCTTTCGAGACGCAAGTCATGGATTCGACTCCAGCCAATATTTCGTCGTCGCCCTTAGGCCGACCACCAAGTTCGGAGACCTTACACATGCACCCGGTCGATCTAAACGCGTCATTCCAGACACAGACGGGAGACGTAGCTGCGTCTTTCCAGTCACAAGTGCTGGAGCCGGCCATGTCACCCAACCTCTCATCTCCGCCACAGCGGCAAGAACCCAGCCCTCAGGCGGCAGAGGACACCTTGATGGACGACGGCCAGCCCGATGGCACAGATGGGCATCGAAATTCCGGCTCTGGGGAGGACGCGTCTGATGAAGTGCTAAGCGACGACGGAGCGGGACAGCCGTCAGGTCAAGGGCCGAGGCTTTCCGGCGACGAACCGGGAGAGAGAGGCACCGATGAAATGGACATAACGCCGAATATTCAAAACGAGGCCTCGGAATCTAAGAGCTTCGAAGGCTTCTCCGATGACCCGCAGGAGGCACCGCCATCACCGCCTGAATCCCAGCATCGAGAAGGTCGCGTTACGAGATCGATGGACGTCTCCATGACTACAGTCTCCAGCCACGTCGAAACACAAGTCACCGACAAGGAGGTAGCGATCATCCAGACGCAGGACACGGAGGTTGTGCTCTCGCAACCTGATGTGTCCAGAGAGGAGAAGGAGTTGAGTGTCCGGAACAAGAAGGTTGCCACGACAGCAGAGGAAGCAGTGTCGGCCCCCGGAGAGCTCGAAAGTGATGCCGAAAGTATTAAGGATGGACGAGCGGCATCTCATGACGAAGCTCAACTAGACGAAAACGAAGATCTCGCCATTTCGGAAGCCGCATCAGAGCCGTTAGAGAACGAGATCGTTGCGGTCTCGTCCCCGACGCAACCGGCTGACCCAGAGGAAGCAGAAGAACCGAAACCGACCGGCGTTGCTGGAAAAGAAGTCGCCCACGCCCTCAGTGACGAGGAAGACTTTCACGACGCTTCCGAGCTGCTTCAGATGGACGAGTCGCCCAGCGTGGCACACTTTGACGACCGTGCCAGCTTCGTGACGGCCAACTCCCAGGCTTCTGAGTCCAGGGAAACAGAGGAAGCGGAGTCTCCCTCGGTGCGCAAATCAAAGCGTAGTTCTAGAATCCGCACACTGCGTGAGGAATCCAACATCCAATTCGCGAAGCCGCCTCGTGGCTCGAAGCGAGGATCACGCGTATTATCCGACCAGTCGCCCAGCCCGCGCACGACGCGTAGCCAGACAATGAGCTTTCAGAAGACCGAGAGCCCGACTCATGAGCAGGAAGACATGTTCGCTCGTGCTGGTCTCCGGTCTCCGTCCAGGAGGAAGGCTTCTGCCACATCGGCGAACAAGGCCAAGAACAAGGCCAAGCCGAAGGACGACCTGGTCAAGCGTCTCGACACCGAAATGCCAGAGTGTGCTCCGCTCAAGGATCTCAAGTCTTACAACATGAACACTCTTGACATCGCGGCCGTTGTCACCAGCACCAACACCACTCCGCAGCGCACTAAAGCACGGCAATACGTGTCGTCTTTCACCATTTGCGACCCGTCCACCGCCCCTGAAGGCGTGATCGAAGTCTCGCTCTTCCGCGCCCACAAAGACTACCTGCCTGTTGTGAAGCCGGGCGACTCTATCCTTCTGCGCCACTTCACCGTGACGTCGCTTCCCGATAGGGGCTTCGGACTGAGAACGGAGGACGAGTCTAGCTGGGCTGTTTTTGACACTGACGGCGAGGACGCGACCCCGCAGGTCCGTGGCCCGCCAGTCGAGCTGAGCGAGAAAGAGAAGAGCTACCTCGTTGATCTGAGGGCGTGGTCTGCGGCGCTGGATGAGGGCGCGAAAGGCAAGCTGGCGGAGGCTGTTGGGGAGATGGTGCAGAAGGGGAAGGAGAGTCGCGGCGAGAAGTGATGCACATTGGACGAGCTTGGCCACAGGTCCCTGTGGCGGCAATGTGCTGAGGCGGGGGGTTGTCTGCTGCTCGCAAAAGTCGGCCACGAAAGACGTACGTACACATGATACCCCTGACGCAAAAAAATCTTTATGGGCTTTGGTTGAAGCGGTTGGCCTCTTGTTCGGTCAGTCTGGCATTGAAAACATGGAAACGGTATGGAAAAATTGGCATCAACAATCGCGATATTGAGATAGACGTGTACATCTTTATCGAAGCCACCCAATCAAACCTCATCCTGCTGCCAGACCCAAATCTTGTGACTGAGATTTGATTGAGTCGGAGTGTTTGTCTACGGGGTCTCAGGAGAACGAACGACGCCGTCCATCCACACGACAGGGTTTGACGTGGGAAGCCAGTGTCGTAGGCTGAAGAGTTCTCACAACACCCACACGTGACAGCGCCTTGGGCCTTCACTCTCTCGGGGTCACTCCTTTCTTATCAACAGTACTCTGGAGCTCTTCCCTCCATTTGCCCACCTCAGTCGCCTTCTCAGTCTCCCCCCATTCTACCAGCCACGTCTCAAGGTCAGACACGTAGGTCAGCACCATCGGCTCCGCCTCGCCAAATGCCCCGCGCATGACATCGATCGAGCTGCGCAGGTTCTCCTCGGCAAGTCCGCGCTCGCCGCGCGCCCGGTGGGCACCAGCTATGAACCTATACGCGACGAGCCTCGGGGGCCCCTCGGCCCCGCGCCGCAGCAGCTCCTGGAAGATATCGAGGATCCTGTCGTCGAGATGAGCGTCCAGCCCGCGGTCGTCGTCGACCGTGCTCAGGTACTCGGCGTGCATCCACAGGGCCTTTATGCACCGCTCGTCGCGCTCCCCGTGCTTAGCCTCGAGGTTCGCCAGCGTCTGCTCGATGATCGTGCCGAAGTCGACGGGGAGGCCACCCAGGCCGCCGACCGCGCTGTAGTTCATCCACTCCCCGAGGGCGCTGGTGCTCTCCGGGACGGTGACGATGTCGTCCCACGTCGACAGGCTCAGCCTCCACGCCTGCGCCGCCAGCTGCCCGAGGTCGTGCCGCCCCAGGGCCGGGAGGGCCAGGGCCCGCAGCAGCTGGCGCAGGGGGTGGTCCCGCGGCAGCCGGGTCTGGGCGGCCAGCGACTCCCCGTACCTGACCAGGGACCTGACGACGACGAGGAACTGCGCCCTCTGGCCACCATCCGAGAACGGCCGCCGCGTGACGTGCGCCAGGAACATGAACAGCTGGCTGAGCAGGTTGGCCGGCCGGCCGCGCAGCAGGAGGCCGAGCTCCTCGGGGGCCTGCCGCATCAGGACCAGCGCCTGGTTGAACTTGTCCTCGTTCAGCGCGGCCTTGACGGCGTACGTGAACCGCGACCACTTGGAGGACCCCGCGCTGCCGCGCCGCCGCAGCTCGTCGAGCGCCTCCGCCGTGGTGATCCTGTCCTGGTACTCGCCCAGGATGTACGTGCGGACGCTGAAGAGGACGGCCTCGGAGACGTGGAAGGTGGTGGGCGGCCGCACGGCTCGCAGGTGTGGCATGGGTGATGTGTTATGGCTGACGACGGCGGCATTGCGTTGGAATCTGCGACGTATGTGCGCGGCGAGGCGGCTGCTGTCTACTGTCTGGCCGTTTGGGAGGCGGATATGGCCGCGTTGGCTGTCGCAAAGCGCCCGTTGTGCAGTCTCGCTGTCTAGGCCGTCTCTGAGTGAGATGTTCTTGCGACAGCCCCATGATTTGAGCCTCGTTTTGTACATCTTGGCTCTGGATTGTGACATCAGCACTAGGGTCTCACACAACATATTCAAAGGGTCGATGTGAACTATACGTGGCATGGAAGCTGTGTTTCTCTTTCATGGCATGCATGACTTCCTTTAGAGGCAGTTCCTCGCCCATGTATAAGCGTTGGATCTCCGTCCTGTGCATCGCCCAGTCTCCCTCAGTCGCATGTCGGACTGGCTGGGAACGCCCGTATGCATCATGACTCGGCGTAATGAGATCAGGCGTCATGAGATCATCGACGTTTTGGATGGCGGCTGTCTGGCTGACTTGGCCCGCATCGTCTCTCCCTGAGCTCATGTCGAAGCTGTAGCTTTTGCCTGCGCAATCGCGAGGCCGGAGTTGTAGCAGATTCGTGGCGGTGAGGCCTTTCCCGCCAACCTGGCTTCCTGCGCGAGGTTCAAGAGTCGGTGGATGGGCGGAATATATCTATGCATTTGTTACACAATTGATGTCTCATTATCGTGCTGATCCCCGAGTTGATCATGAACGGTGAAAGCACTGATTGGATAGCTTTACGCGTCGCACACAAGCATATCGCCGGCACTGAAGACCCTGAAAGGACGAATCCTTCGATCCTGAGCATGGGCCGAGGTTGCACCCCTTGTAGGACTACAGGGCTTGGGCTTTCTAGCCTAGCCGGGGTTTACGGCTGAGACAGGCACAGCGCGGAAAGATGACAACTTTGTTGTGGCAGAAATCCATAGTGCCTCGAAAGATGCTAACCTGTGGGTCATGGTGAGTTAGTCGTCATGGCTTTGAAGATCACTCTGCTGCTCTAGTTCAACTGTGTATAGTCGGTCAGATCGTGCGCCCACTTGAGAGCTTCACCGGTTAGGTACCTTTTTAGAGTGCCGCGCAGCCAGCCGGCATCACTAAGCTTTCTGCCACAGGCACCTACTATCTTCGATTCATCTCCAGGAATTCACCATTTATCAAAACGAATACCAAAGTGAGGCACAGGTTAGAACTGAGCTCCCTCCAAACCACTGAGAGCACAACTACTAGTGTGCTGACTTGGGAGGGGCTTCAGATTCTGAACACAAGTGGACGAAATGCTTTGGGTATCACAAGGTTGTTATAATTAACCTCTAAAACTAATTTGAAATCTGATCCAGAGTAAAGGATGTCGAGTCTAACCTGAAAATCGTGTACACCATCCAGATGTCTGTCATAAATGCAGCCCAAGCGCTAAATTACACCATGGTAAAAAACCCATCCGCCAACTCACAGTCCCTGGCGCCACATCTTTATGATGAATTGCCACACATTTCACTCCCGTCTCCTGTTCTGGATCCCGGGTGCCAATGAATTGCTCCTGCTTAGTTCTTGCGACCCTGCTGTACGCCCCAGTCCATCTCAATACTCTTCATGCTCTTGGCGTCTTCCTCTTCGGGCTTCTCGCCGAGTTTACCGGCGCTCCACAACCGCATCGGCTTGCCGTAGTAGAAGACGAGAGGAAGCATGAGGGTGAAGAGCAACATGATACCGCTGTAGATGCTGAAGGTCTTGATGAATCCGATGTCAAGGATCCAGTCGGCAGACTTGAAACTGATGAGGAACCCGGCAATGAGACGGAATGAGGACATGGTCACGAGAACGGGTCTGTATAACAGTTGTTAGCCTATTGTACTTGGGACCAGAGATATTGACTACGTACCCAGCGAAGTTGGGGTAACATTCAACCAAATACACGCTCACGAGCGAGTTCATGGTCAGACCACCGAAGCCGATGAGGAAGAATCCAACCAGCAGCGGTACGAGCGGCCTCGACGCGGTGTTCTGGCCAGCAAAGCCAAACAGGATCGGCCCGGCAACACCAGCCAGCAAGGGGAATATCAGACTGATCAAGTGCGCCTCGGGCTCCCGCCTCCCCCCGTTGCGCTTGGCGTACTTGTTGCTGATCTTGTCGGCCAGGTAGCCGCCAAAGAACCAGACGAAGGGCGTGGCGGCGACGACGGGCAGGACGACGAGGCCCAGCTGGGTGAACTTGAGCTTGAGGCTGAGGATGATGGCGGCGGCGTTCTGCGTCGTGGCCGAGAGGGCGCCGATGAAGATGGAGTTGAGGGCGATGACCCAGAGCACGTTGGGGAAGAAGGTGGCCTTGACGGTGTCGACGACGGAGCGCCTGCACAGGTCCCACTTGAAGGGGACGGAGAAGAGGCCGAAGTCGTTCTTGTTGGTGCGGTAGCCGTACCGGGCGTGGTCGAGGCGGGGGCGGACCTCGCCGGGGCGCAGGGGGAAGACGGCCCTTCCAGCTGTTTATTTGCGTTAGATCGGTCGGGGAGTGGGGAGGGGTGATTTCACAGACCGAGTTCGTCTTGAGAACGCTCCCACCGTGTCTCGGGGACGAAGAAGATCATTGCAATCCATACGATGATACCAGCGCCCGCGGTGATGTAGTAGAGCCACCTCCAGCTGAGGTTGATAATGATAAGTGGGCTGGTCAAACCGATGCTGACAACAAAAAGACCCTGGCCGGCACTGATGAGTGAGAAAGCCTTGTTACGCTGGTTGATGAACAACATGTCCTGGAGGATAAGGGGGATCAGAGCCTCGACGGCGCCGGCTCCGAATCCCTGGAACACTCTCGCGGCGATGTGGCTGTTCAGGCTGGTGCTGAAGCCTGCCCACAGACCTCCTGCCCATGCCATGACCCCGGAGAACAGGATGACCGGTCGTCGACCGACAGCGATGGAGAGAGGAACCAGGATGTACGAGGCAATGCCGTTGACGAGGATGGGCAGCGTCGAGATGAGGTCGACCTTGGAGATCGGCGGCCCTCCCAGGCTGTTCAGCAGCTGGATTGGGTCTGCCGGCTTGCCGCCCACCGAGCTGAGGTTGAGCGTGCTGAGGTCGATCTTGCCAAGGATCTTGGGGTCGATGCCGGCGTACTCGAGGACGAAGATGGGGACCAGGGCGCCGACGATGGTCTCGGCCGAGAGGGCCAGCGCGCCGAACAATGAGAGCGTTATGATGGCGGCCCATTTCCTCCACTCGGGCAGGTTGAGAGGGTCCTTGGGATCGGGCGTGGGCATCGGGATGCACTGCAGCTTTCCATCCTTGAAGAGTTGTGTCGATCCAACCACCTGGGCTTCGGCACCGTTGCCCCTATCCACCAAGACCTCCTCCATCGAGTCGCGCATCCTGTACTTCGACATATTTGTAACTCAACTGCTGCTGTAGATTTCGTGTCTCGCACGATCCAAGAAGAAAAGAGAAAAGGAAATATAAACCAGCTCCCCAGGAGCCGTAGTTTTCAAGGAGCGTAAACGCGTGGGTTGAGTGATCAGCAGATGAACTGAACTGAACTGAGCTGAGTTCAATGCCAGGAATCAAGGTTGGAGCGGTGCAGGGTTTTGAAGGATGATTGACCAGCTCGCTTGGGTTGCCATCCCATTGCCCCAAGGTGTCCAAGGTGTCGAGGCTCTGACGTTTAGTTTCAGAGGTTCAGAGGGGAGTCGAATCTCAGCCGAGGCTGGAGGCAGTGCAGGCAAAGAGAGTGCGCGCCTACGGGCTGACCAGCGTGCACACAGCTGATTCCATCTGAACTCACCCCGCCTCCTGTGGTTTCGGTAACAGGTGGCTTCGATGCATCAAGGTTTCAATGGGTTGCCAGTCGATAGATCGACTGAACCGTCTGATGTGCTTGAGTTGCGGTAGGCGACCTGCGACTGCGTGCCGTGTCAATGCGCCATGGCCTCCCTCGCGCACATCTCAAACGCCGGAGCCACCCCGATGTCCCTTTCCGGAAGCCGATGCGCCACGGTTTGTGCAGTACGGCAACGTCCCAATCCGTCAAGTCAAGCGACTTTGCCACAACTTGCTCTGGACTGAGAACCACTCACCTGGAACAGGCGCCGAAGTTGCTGCTAGCAAGACAACATGTTGCGAGTCCGGTTGTGGACATTCATGTAACGAGACACACGAGGGCTTCTAGAACTAGATCAGGGAACTAAATGGGGTTGCTAACAGCCAATTTAATTAAAGTATCTTGCAAAGTATATATATATATTAAGAGAAGCTAATGCTAAGCGGGCTATGAAAGGTATAATATATTAAAAGAGAGAGAAGTGCTTAGTCATTCCTTAATATACCTAGCCCTTAAAAAATATATATATCTTTATATATTTTAATATTAGCAAATAATCTTATAATTACTTCTTCTTTAAGAATCCTTAATCCTAATTAATTTATTATTTATTTTTATTATTTTAATTATTAGATTTATTAGCTTAATTAATAAACTTATTAAGTTTAATAGCTTAATTGCTAACTTAATTAATAAACTTATTAAGTTTAGCAACTTAGTTAATAGATTTATTAGGTTTGGCAGCCCATTTAATAAACTTATTAGGTTTATTAGCCTACTTAAATTTAGCGGCCTAGCTGGATTTAGCGGCTTAGTTAAACTTGTTGGCTTAGTTGGTAGAAATTGGATCTGGATTTGCAATAAATATATTTATAATGGCTATAATTAAAATAAAAGCATTAATAGCTGCAACCTAAGGGTTTTAATTAGTAACTTTATTATTATTTATAATATAAATATTAATTTATATACTTTTTTTCTTTTTTTTTAAGCTTTAATAAACCTTTTTAAACTTAATAGTTTTTTTACTTATTAAGAATTTTTTAAAGTTATTTAAATCTTTAGCTTAATTCTTATCTTTTTTTTTATTTTTATTATTAAATTACTTAAATTTATTAAGCTTTATATCTTTTATTAATATAGTAAGAGGTTATATATTAAGTATTTTTAAGGCATTATTTTAAAGCAATTTATTTAATTAAGCCTTTAAGTTTAAGTAAAGTTTCTTTATTAATTTCTTAACCTTATTATAATTAATATTATTATTATTATTTTATAAATTTATTTAAGAATTCTTTTTAAGCTATATAAAAGGATTTATCTTAGAGTTATATTTATTATCTTTCTATTAATCAATAATTTTCTTATTACCATAGTTTTGCTTAATATTTTATTGCAAAAGGTTAATAATATTAAAGTTTATAATTGGATTAAGTAAATTCTTTTCTTAATAATTATAAGCATAATAACCCTTAAATTTATAAAAGAAATAAGTAAGCTTATTATAATCCTTTTAAGCAATTTTTTTAATAATATAATAAGAAATATAATATTAATAATAAACGCTACCTTAATTATAAAAATCTTTATAATATGCATTATAAAGTGTTTAAGTTGCTATATATTAAGCTATAATCTTTATATTTTATCTTTTAAGCTTAATAAAAAAGTTTTTATTTAAAATATTAATTAATAAGTATTTAAAGCGCGTTTATATAACGTTAATGCAGTTAGCTTTAAAATGGAATTCTATATTATTATCTTAAATAAAGTAAAGAATTATAATATCCTATTTACTGCTTATTATAGCTATTTAAATATAAACTTTAATAAGGTTATAATAAACTTTTTTATTAAATAAGACTTAAAGGTAAGTTTTAATTTTATTAATTTAAGTATTATAAGGCATAATAATGTAAATTTAAGGCCTTATTATTATATTAATATTTAAAATATAAAATTAATAAATATAGGTTGCCATTTTTATTAATAGCTAAGCTTATATTATATTAATAAAGTTAATGCCTTTTTTAATTATTATAAATTAATATATTAAAAAAATTTAATTATTAAAAAGTAACTTAAATACCTTATTATTAGCAAAATTAAAATTCATTTTAAAAGTATATATATTATAAATAAGCTATTAAGTAAATATATACTAAGCATAAGTTAAGTTAAAAGATATATAAGAGTTAAAAATAATTTGCATGTTTTTATTATAAAAGATATTAAATATAAGATCTTAAAGTTTCTTTATATTATTAATGGTTTTTTATAAGGAAAGCAATATAATTAGGTTTTATAGTTATAACTTAATGAGAAAGGGGTATTAAGAGTTAATTAAAGTAGATATTCTTATGTTTATTATTTTTATTATATTATTTATTAATAAATAATTTATCTTAATAATAATTATTAATAAGCATAAAAAGATAATAATTAAATATAGTTTATGCTTAGTAAATATATAATTTAAATTTTTGCAATGCTTTATTAATAAGAATAATTATAAGGTTTATAAATTCTTTATATGCTAAGGATTAGGTAATAATAAATATATAAATAATAACCTTAGCTTTATTAAGGATTTCTTTTATAAACTTATTAATATTCTTATTTAAGATTTTTATTTTATTTAAGGTTAAGATATTAGCTAAATTGCTAAGTTAATGCAATAAATATATTAAGCTAAGCTTATATTTATTTTATAATTTTTAAAGCATAATGTTTTTTAATTTTTAAATGCTATTATATTTATTATAAATAAATTTCTTAATGTAGTTTATAAAATTATATAGCTTTTTAAGCTATATACTTAAGCGTAAAATATTAAAGATTCCTAGGGCTTAATATAAATCCTTATTATGCTTAGGGCAAAAGCTTCTTTTTAATGCCTTACTTTTTAGTTATAAGTTAATAATGTAAATAATAAGTTTATTAAATTATAGGTTAATATTAAGTATTTTATGCATTAAGGCTATAGTATTATTATTATTTATATTTTAATTAATGATAATTATAATTTAAGGATTATAATTAAGGTTTTTAGGTTTAGGCTATTTAGCTTATAAAGCTATTTCCTTATAAATATTATTTATAATAACTGCTTTTTCCTTAATTTTTATAGCTAAGGTTATATTGCAAATAGTTTTATCCTTAAACCTTATTATTAATAATATTAATAAGTATTATAAGTTTTAATGCTTTTTATAAATTAGCTTAGCATAATTATTTATTATTAAAGAAAGATAATTATAATTAAAGTTATAATAATAAGTATTTTAAATGGTAATAAATAAAGACTTATAATATATTTTTTACTTTATAATATTTACTTTAATAAATTAATAAATATATTGCTATTAAGCAAAACTTAAGCTAAATATAAGGTTAAGAATTTTATAGCAATTTTAAACTTCCTGGCTATATTTATGAATATTATTTTTATATTATTTGCCTTTAATTAAATAAGCGTTATTATTATTATTTAAGGATATTGCGATAATTAGCTTAATATTATATTATATATTATCTTTATTAAATTAATGCTTATTATTTAAAAAGCTAAGGTTTAAATTATTTTCATTAAGGATTTTTACTGCTTTTAATTAATGAATTATACATAATGCATCTTAAATAAATAAGTATATATAGGTAAGAAGGATAATTAAAGCTATAAAGAGTGCTTTAATAAGTATGGTTAAGGCATGCCTTTAATTTTTAGAAAATATATATAATGCTTATAGGATGCATTAAATGATAATGGCTTTATAATGCTAAAACTTTAATATAGTAATAGCAATAATTTTATTATTTATATCTTAAAGCATTTTTAAGTAAAAGAAACTTTTATATTTATCTTAAATATTGTTTAATTTATAAAATAAAAGGGTTAGGTTATAATAAAATTAATGCATTGCTTAATTTAAAACGGAGAAAATTTATATAATATTTATGGTAATGGAATTGTTATTAAATATAATAAATTATTAAATTAAAGGAATATTTTAAAATTCCTTTATCTTAAAAAAGCCTTAAATCTTTAATTTAGCTATAATATTATTATTAACTTTAATAAAATAAAGGTTAATTATAAACTTTTTTATCTTTTCTTTATTAAAATTAAAGATTTTTATAAGTTTATTTAGTTTATTATATTTAGGGAATTAAGATTGCTTAAAATTAAAAAATGAAGTTAAAGCCATTGTTAATTTCTTCTTAGGCTAATTTATTTATTTAGGCTAATATGCTATAAATTAAAAGTTAAATAGCTTATTTAGTGGATTATTATATAATATGTAAATTAACGTAAATTATGGAATATTAGCTGTTATGTTTATTAATAATATAAGGTAGTTATAATACTTATTAACTTTCTTTATAATTTTAATATAATGCTTTTTTAAGGTTTTACTTTTAATATTATTTTCCTTATTTATATAATGCTTTTAAAGCCTTTATAAAAGCATATAAGTAAAGCTATAAATAAGCTTTTCTTTATTATTAAGCTTTTTTATTATTATAAATAGCTTAATAATTACAATATATATATTAACTCATTGCTAT